CTCCAGCCGTGCTTCTTTGGGCGCAATGGATCTTCCGGGTCTGTCGTCATCCATCGCTCCGGCACGACCTCGTTGCCTCTCGGCCACAATTCCTCGTTGCGAGACTGCGAACGTAACCCGTCCCATATGAGGAATCCGCCGGTGGGATATTGCTCTCCTGTGATGCTGTCGGTGATGCGATAATGCGATTGTCCGTCTCGAATGACAGGAGGACCGGGGAACAAGCGCAGTGCTTCCTTGATAACTCCGCCTGTGTAGAGAAGGGAGTTGAGCAAGTGCGGCGACTCTCTGATCTTGGCGGTTGCATCTGCGGGGTCTTTGCCCAAGACTTCGTCGTGTTCAGCCCGTAGCTTTTGGCCAACTTCGGGATTCTTGGCGATGCAGTGTATCGCCCAGCAAAGAGCCGTGGCCGTCGTATCGTAACCGGCAAACATGAAGATCTTGAGCTGGGAGACGACTGTCTCTAAAAATAACCGGTCCACATTGACCACACCAGACATGGGCTTCAGCGCCAAGTCGATGATGGTCTTCAGCCCCTCCTTCTTCTTTGTTCCTTTGAGGGATCGCTCGATCGATGGTAGTAGTTCGCTGTACATTGTCTCCCTGTTCTCTTTGATAGCAGCCAGCCGCCACGGGCTGTACCACTTCCACATGGTGACAATGTTAAGATGGAGAATCACCCTAGAAATCTGGTCCATGAGAGCACTTCTGAATCTGCTAGGTCCGTTTGTCTGCTCATGAAGCTCGATATCAAGCACCGCTCGGCCGATGACATCCATGGTCAAGTTGGTCGTGGTCTCCACGAGCGGAAACACATCACCCCAAGAGCCGTCGACGCCAGCTTTTTCCCGCATAATATCGGCGAACACCTCGACATCCTCCAACATTCCGGGAACAAGGCCAAGAACGTTTTTGTTACTGAAACTGGGGTTGAACCTCGCGCGCCACGTCTTCCACGGCTCGCCTACCAAACATGCGAGGTCCATTGCTTCCGTGATCGGGGCCAATGCCTTCTTGGTCCAGTCACTACGCGGCACGCTGGCGTCGAACATGTAGTGGCCTGCTGCCTCCGGGTGCACAGTGAAAACTAGCGGAGGACCCATAGGCCACATGTCGGCATAGACTGCTGAGGGACACGATGTCCGGCCGGGGAAGAGCGTTTCCCAGTTGTCGACGATGGCTTGAGCATAGTAGTTGAAGTGTACGTCTTTGGGTAAGTGCGAGGTGAGCTTCATGAGTAGGCGCAAGTGGCCAAATAGAAGCGAGTGAGGCATCATTGGCTATGTCGTGTTAGAAGCCTGGCTTCCCAAGTGTGCTTGAAAACTCACGACTCCTTGTCTCTGAAGCTTGCGAAACCTCAATCGCTCTTGGACCATTCGAGCCAAAACGTAGCCGATGCCAAGTGCTGCGGCCAGACCCAAGAGGCGGAACATCATTGCCATGGGGCTCTCGACCCCCGAAGCTGCGAAAAAGCCCATTTGAGCGGTCTCCTCTCTGATGTTCCGGCAGAATCTGCGGGTTCTCTCTCAAGTCACCTTCGTAGCTCTCTCTAGCGACAAGAGTGCCGAACCACCGTCTCTCTTATACATAAGTATAACGGGAGGACCCGTCAAGGATTGACATATGCCGCGGTCGTAAAATGACAAAAGGCAGGGCCATCATTGGTTCCACGATCAAATACCCCTCTCAGGCCAACGGTGGTATCGCAGGCCGAGGAACAAGACTGATGTAGAGTCGGCCGCCTTCTTCATATGTGCATGCCCCCGCGGGACTCTGCATCGGGATTCTCCATTCTTCAGGCTTGGCTTTGCAGAAACGGGTCGAGAAAGCCGTTCGTTGCGGGTGCTTTGTGGGAACTTTGGGCGGGGATCTGGCGGCTTCTGGATCTGCGAGCAAGGGTTGTGCAGGGCTTCCGAGGGTAACCTGACTTATCGTAACTGCGCCGTTGGTCGGTTGGTTGAATTTGGTTCTTTGGTATATGTAGTGTAATGGTGTAACGATCGACAGCGGATACGTGATATGTGCTCGCATATCCGTACTGGTGTTGGTGTCGCACAGCATTTAATCATCGCGAGGTGGCTCTGAGTGCCTTTACTTCGAGTGGTGTTCTCGGAAAAGTTTCTTGGTACCACAGCAACCTTGACGTGACAAGTATCTTGACGTGATTACAATTACTCGGCGTACAACGAAACTCGTTGTTTCTTTCACTTGCCGCATTAACTACATGGTCGCTTGTGCCAAGATGAGCACATCCTACCTATTTCATCAACGGGCCTTAATTGATACAAATTTTCATGTTATGAGAGACACTGTTTATTTTTCTCGACCCAGATTTCGTTGCAGTGTCATTTAGCTCAGCCCATTCTGTGGCTGGAAATGTCGCCAGGTGTCTTCATACTATTTCGGGGTGAGTCATGCGGCAAACGCAACTAACCCCATCAGACTCAACACATAGAGCGCGATTTGAGCAGCGCCACCAATACACCTTTAAGAAGGAGGCAAAGACCCTTCTCTAAATCGAGATACTTACTGAAGAATAATTATGGTTCAAGAGACCAAGGACTAAATTCACCAACTGGGGTAATCTTTTCTTAGTAAACTCAGTTTTATCCCTAAGGGACTGCCAATCTTAAGCAAGAAGCACCCACAGGCAATTGGGAATTATCGTCAGAACACAACCACAATGTCGGAGATCGACCCTTCAAGCCCACATATTGCCACCTTCATGGCCAAAGTCTCCGCTGAGCTCAATATTCCTCTTTCGCCACCCAAGGATGTAACAGCTTTCGGCGACAATCCGGCCTTGAAAGACGAGCTCCTGGATCTTCTGCTTCAGGGCAAGAAAACATCTACAACAACCTGGCCAATCCCTGAAGCGCTTCATTGGGGAGTTGATGACCTGTCCGTTATACTTGACGGCAAAGGAGAACCAAAGGCTATCATCAAGACAACGTCGTTTGAGAGATGCAAGTTTCGGGATGTAAGGGAGGAATTCGCGCTTGCGGAGGGAGAGGGGAATTATCAAGAATGGAGAGACGGGCACAAACGATATTTCGAGCGCAGAGAGGATTCAAAGGATTTCAGTGAAGACGTTGAGGTGCTATGCGAGTGGTTTGAGGTAGTGTATCCTCAAACTACGAGCAAGTAGAGTCGAGCAAACCCATGTTGGGGAAGAGAATGTGAAAACCGCTTTGGCTTGGGTCAACAAATATCAACAGATAAGAGCTAGTATGGCAAAAATTGTATCAAATAATCTTCTCCAAGAGCAATTGACGTGTACGGAAATGCTCCGAGGCAAAAGAGAGGTGATCCGCAGCTTGTTGCCTCGAAATGCAAAAGGATTGGGCCCTAACCAGGATTCGAACCTGGGACCTCTCCCAGACATGTCGTGGAGACCCTAAGGGAGAATCATACCGCTAGACCATCAGGGCGGTTGAACTCGAACTGAGCTTTTTATCGATGAGGTCGAAGGCGAGATGCGAGACTATGTTGTGTTTGTGGGTGGAATAGGGCTTTTGTCGCTCGTGGGGACGTTTGGGGGCCGAAATGAGGATCCGCGGGCCGGTCCCGGACGCCCACAACCCGGAGGGACCGGCTCTGGTGTGCCGGAACCCCGTGGTGCAATGGTCCTGTAATCTGGCCAGCGGACGCGGGTTGAGCTTGAAAACTGGCGCAAAGGGTGCTGCATATGAGGCAATTTGTGATAGAATCCAGTTGTCACAAGCGCATCAGCGAAGCCGGCTTTCTTTTTACGCCAATGAACATTGAAATCTCAAGAGTGAGAGACGAGTTCCTAGACTCTAGTCACTTTGGCTATATTCTGGACGCATCGAGAGTCTGCCCTTGGACGTACTCAAATTCCGACCCCAGGATTTCATTCCAAAGATGTTGGGCTCTCATTCCCTAAATTCCCGAAAATGGGCTCCTCATCTAGTTCCATGGGGATTTGGTGTCCCGCTGTCTGCACGCTACGTTGATGTGGACAGCTTGCATGGGGGTTTTTCTTTCCAGCATGTTGCTGGACCTCTTGTGGGTTCACAAGTACAACGCGGCAGTCCGGCAGAGAATTTTGGGAAACAAGGGTGAGACTACAAATACTAGAGCACTAGTGTTGTGGTAATTAATATCTTGCCAGTCGCCAAGCGAAATGGAGTACTCTCGATTTCACCATGCAATGTGTAGAGGTGATTCGCGCCGGCTGTGTGCTTTGCGGGACTCAGGAGACGGGGAATGCGGAGAAGATCTCCGAATGTAAGATCTTGAAAACCCGAAAAGAATTGCTTTCGAACCTCAGAAGCACAGGCGTTGTCTCAGACCTGGACGCTCATTTTGAGCCAAAGAGTGCTGTATTGCTGCACCCGTGCACAGTTGGGGAATCTTAGAAACATTGCATTCCAGTTGGTCCCGGTTCTGGAGCTTCAAGCATAACTGTGACTAGCTCTCTCGTGAAGCAGATCACCTCAAGTGCTTACTTTCGAGCCGTAAGCTTATGTGCATTAGTGCGATACCAGTCTCGTAGGCTGGACTGATACATCTAAGCTGCATTATTAATGCTCTTTAACGCTTGAGCTTGTGACGCTACCAACCAAGTTCGCGTCATAACATGATGAACGCGTACGTCCAATCGATTGATCCGGCAATCCGGGACGAACTTTGAGGTCGATATTTTCTTTGGGTGAACCTTGATGTCGCATGTCTTCTTCTGAGAACATGCAAACTCTTGATGAATCGCCATTGCTCCAAAGATTCGTACATCAAGACGACTGGAAGCTTGACCAACATCCTTAAAAAGGCCTGAAATCATAGAGCGGCCTACATGACGATGCTCAGTCATGGAATTTGGATTGCGTTCCTCGCAACAGCTTACGCTGCAGTTCTGCCGTCAACGCACTTGCCACGTGAGATCAAAGCCTCTTCCATCTCTAGCATTGTAGTATTCGGTGACTCTTTCAGCGACAACGGTAAGCGATCGGTGGTAATTCGACGGGCTTGCGTTCAGGATGGACATGACTGACGGGATGCGAGCTGCAGGGAACGGGGCTGCTCGAGTATCGAATAATGCCTGGCCTACAGACAAATAGTCAGTGAACCCTTTCCGCTATGTCTGTTCTAGTTCAATACATGTAACAGCCAATTCAGCTACAAGGGTCGCTTTTCGAACGGCATCGTCTGGGCAGAATATGTAGCAGCTAATCTCTCATTGCCCCTTTACGACTATGCGGTAGGAGGTGCAACGACTTCGAATGCCCTTATCCAGGGCTACACAGGCGCAAAGGGTGATATCGCTGTACCTTCTGTTATTGATCAAGTCGTCTCGTGCTTGGCGAAGATAAATCCTCAAGGAGGAGCCTTCGAAGCGTCCGATTCATTGGCAATGGAAAGCCCATTGCTGATATTGTTTGCTGGTGCCAACGATATCCTGTTTAACGCCAACATCAGTGCTTCGCAGTCGTATCAAATTCTTCGTCAAGCCGAAGCACAGCTCCGCGATGCGTACCCAAGTGCAAGAGTCTTGACTCTAACGCCGCCCGATATCTCCAGACTTCCGTATGGCTTCTACTTGGAAGACAATCTGGCAAAAAACCAGTTGCGAGCTTTCACAGACCAGCTGGGAGAACTACTCGACAGGTCAAAGACGGGAGCCGTCAACCTTGATCTTCGGCCGCTCTTCGACGACTTTGAGTACTATGCTTCTCCTCGGGCGTACGGATTTGACCCACTGGGAAAGTACGGCAGTTGCCTCGAAGGTGCATATGGCGAGACGCCGAATGTGACGATCTGCGGAGACCCAGATAGGCGGGTATACTGGGACGAATACCAGTGAGTTTTGGCTGGGCTCTTCTTTTCGTTTCTTTTCCGAGCCGACTTGCCGTTTACCCAGCCTTCAGCTCTCATTCTGACGTCGTGCAGTCCTACAACTCATACACACTCGTGGATTGCCAAGGAGGTTCTAGACGTCCTGAGAGGTCCGTTCTGATTACCTCTTGTGGTTGAGGGAGCGAAAGTTGGAGTTCCGAGGTTGTCGGTTTCGGCATAAATGGAAGAATGCAAGTATACGGGGGGCAGCGTAGAAGTTTTCTTGGAAGCAGTTTTACAGAAAGAGCGATGAACAAAAGCGAGACATTGGATCAGACGAAAGAAGCAAACTCGCTGGGCCAATACCAAGTTCCAATTCCAACTTCGGTCCAAGACCAGGGGATCCCCCGCAGGTCTGTCCTGAAGAGGCGAAGGCATCCCAACCCTCCCCTGCCAACTCCACTTGACCCGGCTATTGTTGACACCAACTCTCTGTGTCAAACAAGCACGGACGAGTTGTTTGTGAGCTGAGGATACTGCGTCCCGCCCGTTGCCGCTGACAAAGATGCATCCTTCAGGGGCGGAGTTCTTGGTTCATCGTCAAGCTGCTACGAAATCCGATGTGCTGACCATGGCTACATAAAAGTCAGACAGACTGAACTGGATCAGCTATGATTTGTGATAAGATAGAAACAAGCTCAGAGTATTGAACTAATTTTGGTGGTATTCTTTCTGCATGTTCATGCTTAGGACTTGTACGATGGATCTCCATTCATCCATATTGGATGGCGAATTTCGAGTAGAATATTTTGACATGGTCCACAAGTCTTGGCAAGGCTCGTTGTCACAGAAAGCACGGTACGAAATTCAGGGCTGGTGGCCGCGTCTTATTCTCTGCCCATGATAAGCGGAAAATTGAACGCAATGACGTGGAAACAATTTGGCTTTAAGCGCTCTTGCGTTCCCGAAGCCGGACTTCCGGCCAAGGTGGATGAAGTTATGGTTATTTGGTGATGTGGCTCAACAACAGACGAAAAGAGAAGCAATCTCGGAGGCGTCTCACCGATCAATGTCACAAGCCGTTGAAGCAGGGCAGGGCAATTCGCCAATAATGCGGACATGACTTCCCGAAAGCGTTCTTTGCAGTTAGTCGAGTGTTCCCTAACGCCGCGACTCTCCTGAGGCCCAGGAGTTTCCATCCCACGTTGCCGCCCAGAATTGTTTTGTTAAGGCTGGTCCCTGTGCAGGCATGTCCCCTGGCCTCATTTAAGCGCGACGTGCTGCCATCTGATGACGCGTAACTAAGACATGGTCCGCCCCGGTAGACATGGAGACTAAGCAGCGTCCCATCACCTCTCTGGACTCTGCATCCCCGTAAAAAAAAAACAAGTGAAAACCCATGAACTAGGAACAACGGCACCGTTCCCCTCGCCCTAAAATGTAAAGGTGAAACGAAGACGACGACGTCCCTCATTTACAGCAAACGCCCCATGGTCGGAAAATAAGGGAGCAGTGGGGACCCTGGACCCGTCTTCCTTGAAACACACGGCCGTGATGGGTTGAACATCGAAAGCCAACCACTCAGAGCCTCCCACACACACTCCAGTCATGTTCCTATCCTGGAGAAGATCTGTTGTTCCTTGGTCTGGTCTAGAACCCTCGAGGCTCGAGCAAGTTGTCGGTATCAGCACTGTTGACTCGCTGAGCTGCGCGCATCCACCCATCCATCTGCACCATCCACCACCCACGCGGCATCCATACTCCTGATCCCGCCGCGGAAAGCTAGGCCAACAGTTGCCAAACTCCTGTTACCCCTGAGAACCCACCCGTTGGAAATTGACAGCAATATGGCGCCCATGCTTCTCACCACTGTTCTGTCTTGATCGAAAGCGGGAAAGTCGGGCCACCCTTCTATCCAAGCTGGACCTTGAGCCGCAGACAACTACCGAATAGTGGCAACTCGTCCGGGGCCAAAGTCGCCAAACATGGTTCTTGCTCTGCTAAACGCCCACATCCCGCCGGGCTGGGTCGGCTCCCCTTGTCGATCTGTGTCGTCCGATGGCGCAACAGTTCACCATGTTGCTCGACCAAGTTGACACCATCCTGGCAAACCATGAGCCAAATCGGTGACGGATGGCAACCGGGATCCCAGACGTCGAGATCGATATAAGATGCAGCTTTTCTCCTTCCAAGACCAGTCTTCTTTTTGCTCTCCATCCCACTCCATCTTCATCACTTTCATTCCAAACACATTGAAGCTAGTCTTCTTTTTCCGTTCTTGATACCAAGCCTTTCATTCGTTCCTTCGAACCACATTCATTACCAACCTTTCCCACCTCACAAAACAACCTCTCAGTCAATCTCATAACTCAGACAAAATGAAGGCCAACGTTATCGCCGCTACCATCCTTGCCGCCTTCTCGGCTGGCGCTTTCGCTCAGGACCAGGAGGCCGAGTTCCCCACTGGCTTCCCTACCGACCTCCCCTCCGGCTTCCCTACCCAGGTCCCCGGCGCCGCTAAGCCCTCCGGCGGCTTCGGCGGTGGCTTCCCCGGCTTCCCCTCCGGTGGCTTCCCCACTGGCTTCGGCGGTGCCCGCCCTACCCAGGTTCCCGGCGCTGCTCAGCCCTCCGGCGGCTTCGGCGGCAACTTCCCCGGCTTCGGTGGCCACTCCGGCTTCCTGACCCGCACCCGCGGCTCCTCCGAGGAGGCTGCTGGCTTCGGCGCCCAGGCTGCTGAGACCCCCTTCCCCACCGGCACCCAGTCCGGCGGCGCTCGCCCTACCGGCAAGGGTAAGGGCAAGGGCAAGGGCAAGAACCACGGCACCGGTGCTCTCCCCTCCGGTGTTCGCCCTACCCAGGTCCCCGGTGCTGCTCAGCCCTCCGGCGGCTTCGGCGGCAACTTCCCCGGCTTCGGTGGCGATGCTCCCTCCGGCGCTCCCTCCGCTGAGCCCACCTCCGCTTAAGCGACAAAACAACTTCGACGATGACAAATTCGGCTTATGGGTTTGACTTGGACCACTTGGTTCAGCAAACGGCTTTATCTGGAGCGTGTTTGGACGATTTCTAGTGATGGAAGATGTGTTTCTTTTCTTACTACTCCACGTGGAGCTTTCATTGTATAAATACAAAAGCCACTTGGAGTAGCTGGCTGGTACATTGCATAGGCGTTTGCTTTTTGTAAACTTATCAAATAAGAGCATCCGTCTTTTTCAAACTTCTGGGCCATGAATTTGCTGTGATTGCTAACTGAGAGATGTATTCACATCAACTGCTTTGGCCTCTCTCGTTGCTTCCCCGACACCCCTTTGAGAAGCTTTTGGACCGATATAACTTAGATCCCGGAGTAAATACTTCTCTGTTACTGTTTTTGATGCAGTCGAATAGTTATAAGAGATGAACTGAATTAGCGAGCCCGCTGGCTAGCTGGCCAATCCTGAGATTATTTCATTTCCTGGAAGTTACAATTTGAGTGCAACTACTTTGGCAGATGAATTCGGGATGCGCTTTGTATTTTTCAATTGTATCTGCATGCTGTTCTGTCCTTTCCTACAAGCATGGTAGACTAATAGTAACGACGTCCGCGAAGCGAAGCAGTCCAACAAGGTTTGATCACAGATCCAGGAAGGTACAGTGCGTATTTAGCTTCTTAAGTTCTGAACCAAAGTCTCAAAGTACCTTTCAGAGCATTAGTTTCCATTCACTTACCCTGTACGACTGACTACATAGGAATGTCTGTAACCTCACACAACATTTTAATGTAACCCTATATCCGTCCGCGAGCCATTTACAGGCTCACGATGTTTCTTCTGTGGCACATTGCCAGCTACCTAGATCATGTATGGCGGTGGCAGACCACTTATATTACACTTGCCTCATCTTCTCATGTAATCGTATCTCATGCTCCAGTCTTCTCACAGGAGTTGAGTTGCTGCCATAACAGCAGCTAACGCAAAGGCGATAGTGGCGGGCTGATTGCTGTTGGCAGCGCTGGCATCGGTGCTCGAAGTAGCAGACTAGACTCGTGTTAGATATCTTGACCGTGATCCATGGTTGCCCCAGACCAATGACCTACCGAGCTCGAGCCGGTGGCAGATGCTGTGGAAGATGCACCAGCGGTGCCGGATGTCCCTGCCGTGGTAGTTGCATTGGTCGTGCTATTGGAAGCAGTGACAGGCGTCGCGTCAAGGTTACATCCGTCCGCGGCTTCTGTGACACCGTCTCCGTAGTATTGCCAGATGTCAAAGGTATTCGCACACTGAAGACATCCCTCGAAGTAGCCCGTCCAAGTGGAGTTGGTGCAGTAGCCGTCCTCAGCTGCTCCAAGGATGGCGTAGCCTAGATATTGTTATGAGTCTGTTTGATCCGGCGTATGGAGCACATCGAATCACATACCGCAGTTCTCGTGGCACTCGTACTTGGCTCCGCTGGTGACCTGACGTGCGTGAAGGGGCACGATGGGGAGCCATTCCAAAGCCGTGGCAGTGGAGGCCAAGAGCGCGACAGCTGTGACGAGTTTCATATTGACGACAATGGTGACTAGATGCGAAAGGTGGCGGATGAACTCGATCAATAATGACGAGGCAATAACTAGCAAGAAGGCTGCGCGGTAGAGAATACGCGCTGCGCCGCATCTATATAGTATTTACCACTGCAGCATCCCGAGCGAGCAGATTGTTTGCATACGCAACCTCTCCCGGGAATCCTCTTGGTGGATCGATAACTCGCAGCTAGATGTTCTTGGCTGGATGCCTTCAGCCGAAGGACGAATCATGTTCTAGCGGCCGAGAGTGCCGATGTGCTCAGGTCGCATCGGCGCGGGTTGAAGTGGGGGATCAAGGATGGTTACGTTGCGATGGGCAAAGTTTCGAGCAGATTTCTGCAATGTCACCGTTCTACAGCAGGAGGCACAGACGAAACACCAGTTTGCAGTAAGTTGAATAAGGTAAGTTGCTATTAGAAACCCAGTTCACTTCCCCGATGATGAACATAATCCGAGGCAACTGAACAACTCAGAAGACATCTTACATCAACAAACTCACTGCTTACATTTCTATTCTATAGAGGTATGCTCATCGGTCAGACCCAACTTTTAAAACAGGGTTCCCATGCCGATGTGGTAGGACAAGATCTGGGCGCATGTTATGATTGGTAGATGGCATCTTATCAGATCATCTGATATCCGCTCTGCAATCTCGGTTTCCCTCCACAACACGACACACCTGAGGCCAGCATCTCGGTGCTCCTTTTCTTCGCCTCAGGCCGTTAGGCCGAGACATCTCAAAGGTTCTCCTCCGACTCGGCCGGGACCTTCTCCGGCCAACGGACCACAACCGCCGAGGAACACCGGCCGGATCGCCTCATTGTTTGAATGGAAGAAAGGGTTGGGCACGAACAGGCCCGGCCGCTGACACCCTTGTGACAATCCTGGTCCAATAATCCACCATCACGTGGAGTTTCTTCCTTCGCAGTCTTGCGGTGTGGGCTTGCTCCCCGGTCGAATACGCACCCAACCCCGTTCGCGACCGTTCGACCCAATCACTCCCCCGACATGCCAGTCAAGGGTTTGTCGTCTTTTGAAAGATCCGGTTCGTCGCAACGTACTCGCAGCGGATCCTCAACAAACGAACCATGGCGCAAAACTCCCGATCGAGTCTTTGGACGAACCACGCGAGTTCTTACCGCCAAACTTCTAGCCCACAGATGCATGGCCAGCTCAGTTGTGCTAAACCCATTCCGTTCGTTCTTCAACGAAAGAGTCTTGTGCGCCGATGATGTTCCTGTGAATCGCAGGGGATCGTGAAAAAAACCACGGAAACCGAGTGGCTGGCCAACTCAACGCCCACCGCCTCTTACGCGCCCCGGCTCGGCGTCCGTTGCCCGGGTGCTCAGTTGTTCGCCTCACGATGGCAGTCTATTGTCTATTAAAGACTGGCCAGTGGCCGCATCTCTTGTCTGAGTTTCTTTCTTGGAAGATATCCTCTTTCGAGGTCCACCTCGATACACCACCAAAACAATCATTCAACATGGCTCAGGCCTCGCCTTCGTGGCAAAGGCTGTTGGGGCTGCTGTCAGTGCTTCTGGCACTGATCCTCGGCGTCTCGGCCGGGGAGCACGGTGCTGCTGTCACCGGCTGCCCCGCCGATCTCGCCTCGGCCCCGGAACACACCTTTTCTGCCGGCTTCGACAACAGCACCGACGTTGCTGAGACTCAAGCAGAGCGCTCGCACGTCGAGAAGCTCGCGGCGACCAGCTTGCAAGGCATGGGTATGCTCCATCTCAACATCCCATGTGTTCTTGGATCCACAGACTAACACTCCTTTCCCAGGCGCCCAATCCAGCTTCGAGGCTTTCCGAGTCGAGATTCCTGCCTCATGTAACACTCCCAGCATGAAGAGCTCCCTCATCGAACTCCCCATCAGCTTCGCCAGTCTGCACATGCACCTACAGAACATCCGAACCAAATAACCTCGATGGCGGTTTGCCCAACACTCAAACCGCCGACACGAGATGAACTACTTCACCCGTGTTGGATTCGAACCTACGATCTCCGACACACTTAAACCCTCACGTCGGGGTGTGCTTGGTGTACCATGATATTACACACTAAGCAAGTCCCGAGCCCGACTGCTCAAAGAGATGAGCCGTCACACAACAAACTATCTACGACAGGAACGACATGACTATAACGAAACGAAACTCACGACAAAAAAACAATGCAACGAAACACGATGTCACGGACAATATCCCCTCAACCACATGACTGGTTGGGAAGTACGACGAACGACCTTTTCTTTACCTCTCAGATACCAAAACCTTCTCCCTCTTCACCGAGGTTTCAGCCACTTGGCTCTTTAAATACATCTTCTTTGTCTTGAACAAGACTTTTCGTCCCGATGCCAGTGAAACAATCCAAAGTCCGATAAGATTGACATGCTTCACTAATGTACAGTGTACTTTATGTGAATCTGGCGAGTTTGAAGTGATGCCGTTCTGGTCCACAAACGTTCAACCGAATAGCTTTCCATGCCCATACATACACACAACGAGACATGTAGATCTGCTAACAGTCATCAGTGCTGGTGTGAGTCTTCCGCTGATGTGAGTCTGGGAGTTCCCCAATCGCGCAGATTTATGTCAGTGATTTTGATAATAAAATTGACTTGAAGGCTGCCTTCTGTGGACGGCAACTAGTACGCATGCCATGCTGCAATGTATAAAACACGCCATGTAGACAGCAGAAGCGTCAGGCGCAAGGCATTATGTAAGAGAGCCCAGTGGAGGTATTGAAAGTGCATGTAACTTGAGTAAAAGAAAGACGATGTGGAGGGAGAGAGAAATCAATATTTGTGGGAACACAGGAAGAAGAACTTAAGCGGCCGGCGTCTTCGAATGGTCAGATTTTCGAATGGTCAGACACCGAGGAAAGTGCCTGACATTATCCGAACTCGAGTTTCGAAACTCGGACTTGGTTGGCCATTCCTGTCTCAATGCCAGCCCAATCGTCACAAGGAAGACGGCTTGAGTCAGTTCCGCCATGACGAACGTCCTGATATGCTTATCATCCATTACTCGGAATCCCCAGCGCAGATGCGCGCAAAAGGAGATTGCTTTACAAAGTAAAGTTAACAATCATTTCAGGGTACTTGCGATTCCCATCTCTTCACCGCACCAAATCGTATTTCCTCTCAATTCAATACGTTTATCTGTAAGATACTATGTCAGCTATTTCCACATAGTTTTTCTTTTAACCAGTTTAAAACTTACTAAGGTCAATGATGTTCATCCGCAATTCTTTATTGACTCCATCGGCGCAATAGCACGTCATCTCGACCTTTTTCTCGTTGGCTTTACCAAGTGAACACTTTTCGCATGACTTATCAAAACCGCCTCTGGAGTGAAACGAAGAAGATTAGCGGGAAGAATTCAGGGGAGGCTGTGTGCATTCTAACCGTCTCCTCCATTGTATTTTTCCATGGTCGTTGACGAGGCATAAGTTTAGATTTAGCTCGTTATCATATGGCTTGCCGTCCAATGCGGTGCACCCGGCCAAAACTTTGTAGAAGGCGCGTCTCGGACATTCTTTACATGGTTTATAGAATGCTTCCTTGAGACTGACTGACTTGCAGGGTTTCATGAAGCCACCTTTAGATTCAGCGAAGGAGGTTGTTGCAAAGAAGGCAATAATTGCAGTGATGATGCCGGTCATGAGCTTCATTTTCGCTACTCGTGAAGGACGATTGCGAATGAGACTGTGTCGTAGGGGAATGTGAATGGGAAGCAGGTCGAAATTCGAATACTGTTGCAATTGACTGTCTCCTATAGCGAGGCCGTTGTGTGATACATGAGTGCGAGATAGCGAGAGGAGGAAGTTCAAAGAGTAGACATTGGGATACCGGCCTATTTCAAGCCTAGTAACGAGGCCGTAGTCAAACCACTGTATGAATGGCAAGGTAAGAACGGTCGCTATGATTTCTATCATCCTTTCTTGTTTTAATGTCAGCATGCAGTGGGCGGTGAACGTTGACGGTGTCTGAAAGGAAACTGCTCAGATCTCAAAGGGGGAGGTGGTGAAGCTCGTGATGTCTTCTCCCCCAATTGGAGCATGGGAAAGTGCGATTTGGGGGCTGAGGAGACATGGTGATAGAAAGAACCACTGATTATTGTACTGATCTCTAATGTATATGGGGCCTGGCCTTCTGAGTAGGTGATCGAGGTTCTGATAGGTTGCAGAATGCCTCAAAGGCGGTTGTTCACGGTTCGTAATAAACATGTGAATAAGTGCTATGCACATCGTCTTTCTCAGCATGTTGTTTTTCCAGGGAACAGGAGAGAAAAATCACCAAGACTTACCGTCATTGCCAGCAGAGAAGGCTCATTGGAGCGGGTTTCGGCGTTTTCAGGCTTGGCTATGAACACCGCCTTTGTTCTGCGGAACCTCATGAAGGCCAAGAGCTGTCGATGTTCTCTCTCCAAAGAACCAACCACTCGATCCGGCATGACCGCCTCATCAAATGACATTGATGGGTGCGCAAGGAGCAGAGTTTGAAATCTTTCGTATGGGTCCTCTACCTAAGACGGCCGATATACGGCACTCGAACCGACCGGACTGAGGTGTATCACCACTCATCTCGAGATACTCCCGTAAATATTCGTGTTTGTACCGAACTTTTCCAGGTTTTTGTGACCCTGCGGCATTCCTTCTTTTTTTCCTCTTTGATCACCTGACCCGATTGCTCCTTCTTTCCGAATAGGCAGAAAAAAATAAATGAGGCTCATGAACACCGGGGGATTTATTTCTCCACGGCAACCAAATTTTGCAGCCTCCATCTACCAACCTCATCCTCTCCCACTCTACCCTAGTACCTTTTCTACTTTCCTACCGCACACAATTTCCAATCCTTTCCTTTCCGATTTTATTTTCTTTCACTATCAATTCAACAACCAACGCGGCCCATCCTCGTCACACTCCTCTTCCCACGATCAAAGCACCACCAACCCAATAGCTTCATCGCTTCAATCACAGCTTTCCTGGACGATTCGCCATATCGAAATCTCACAATGCTCGAATTTCCACGCATCTTCCCTCAAAGATTCTTTTCATGACGACTGCGGGCCTTATCGAGTGAGGCAAGCTTGCCGGAACGCGTCACTCGCGTCGCCCTTCTGATCCTTACTTCACCTCCAGCTTGGCGCCACGGCATCTTCAACTCTTCTCTCTCATCGACGACTTCAAGCGGTCCCTCCAATACCAACAGCTCAGGTAAGTGCGAAGATATCCCCAGATCTAGGCGACCTGGAACCCGTCGTCCGCCAACGGATTCTCGAGGAATGCCCCCGTCTACGCGATCACTGTCCAATATCGGTCCAGCAACCTCTTCTCACAATGTCCCATACTTACTCTTCCTTCCCTCAGAATTAGAGCCCAAAGAATTGATCGCTCTTGCTGCTTGAAAAGTCTGTCTTGAAGGCGGTGTGAAGCCTGCCAATTCTCTCCCCTTGACCTCACCTTCCCACCAGGCAAGTACTCATCTCCCCGATCTTTTGGCACAAAGCCGCCTCTCCTTCGTCCCTACAATCTTCGTCTCTTAACACTTCGTCTTTTCTCTCTTCGTCCTTTCACGCTCAGTCCTTTCATACTTTCCCTCTACACACCTCGTCCCGTTGCACTTCATCTTTTCACATTCGTCGCTTCATACTTCGTTTTTTCACACTTCCTCCCTTCGCACTTCGTCGCTTCATACTTCATCGTTTCATACTTCGTCCCGTCGGAATTCGTCTCTTCACACTTCGTCTCTTCGCAATTCGTCTCTTTGTAGTTCGTCGCTTCTCTTGCTCATCGCTTTTCGTCCAATTCATGCTTCATTGCTTTCGAAATACCTATTCATCAAGTCTCTTTACTCATCGCTCTTTACCTCAGTGACCCAAGCTTCACATGCTTAAGTCCACCAGTCACACTACAAAGGTATTCAAATTTTCTGCTCTAGCATGAATCCCAGCTCTCAAATGCACACCATTCTAGCCCTACTCTACGACTTCACATTCCTACTGGAATTCTTGGCTAACTCATCGTGTTCTAGATACCCAAATCGGATGACGTTCACCGTCTGAAGAGATACGACGAGAGATACGACGATGCCTTCGTCGCATCTTCGGACGTATCGTCGCATCTCTAGGATTATCTCAGTTTCGTCCGAATGCAACTTCCGACGGACATCGCCATCTCGACATGTCGCCTGACCACTACCAAGGTATGCGCTGCCATTGAGGTTACAATCGCTCTTGCGAAATTGCAGTCTCCAAAGGCTTGCTCGAACCATGGCCCATAAGAAAAGGCTTGGAATGTGTTTGTTCGAAATTAGGTATGTTAACTACACATTCAAGTAGAACATTACTTATCTGAGAACGAGCTGGCTGTCCAGTCTCTCTCTCATCATTCCTCTTATTGGTGTCATGAATGTTTGCTAACAATAGCCTTTGCCAGACCTCTCAAAAGAGCATGGGGACAATAGAGCCTCTGCTCTCTCTATTGGTTTGTCTTCTCAAGACATAGCTTGTTTCAAGCCAGAAGAGGCCAAGTTGAAACCAACTGCTCGAATAAGTCTACGTTTCCACCAGCGGCTCCAGCTCTGAGCAGCCTTTCGGCACTTCTTAGCGTCCCAGGCATGCCTGAAGCCATCGAACAACCGACGTGGCATCAACGAGGTCGGGGCTTGCTACCCTGGCCTCGCATTTGGGGTGACGTGGGAGACGACCGCCCCGCGTGCGTCACGGCCCCTCATACCGGCGTTGGAGTCTCCGTGTCCGCCAAAAAACCTCAGTCAGCTGTCTGCGATGTGGTACGGCGGACACGGCGAGTCCAACGCGGGAATCTCGTACATGAGAGGGCCGAATGGCGAACCGGGACCTGCCATTTCCATCATTATGGCAGATAAGTACAGCGATATCGACGTCGACCGAGGTGACGATATCGTCTACTGCGGAAGCAATTCACTTGACAACACCTCGAGCAACACTCCCGCCGATGGCGGACCGCCCGTTCGGGGTAATGCAGAGACTTGTTCGAAAATGCTTCAAGAAACCTCAATGGGCGATTCAAGATCCTGCCCAAAAGACCCCCTAGACCGAAGTTGACGTTCCCTTCCGGGAGTCGATGGCATTAATCATGGCCCAGCGCCTTCAATCATCATGGCAGACAAGTACAGCGACATCGACGTCGACGGAGGTGATGACATTGTTTACTGCGGAAGCAACTCACTGGACAATACATCGAGCAACACTCCCGCCCATGACGGACCGCCCGTTCGAGGCAACGCAGCCCTATTCAAGCCCACAGAGAAGAATATTAGACTTGTTCGAATATGCTCCAAGAACCCTGAGCGGGCGACTCAGAATCCTGTTCCAAAGACAACCTGAACATGGGCTGGCGTTCTCGAGCCCTCAGAAAACCATTCTGGGGGTATTTCCACCAGCTACACCGGCAACTTCCCCCAGACGGGCCATTCTCATGTACTTCCTCTAAGAGGGCCGGTCCTGGCTTGCTCGAATACCAGAACAATCAAGATGCGCGCTCTTCCATTGTTCGAATAGCTATGCCTAGCCCAGCTTACGGGCGAGACTTTTGGCTCAAGATACGCCATCAAGAGAAAGCTGGAGATCATCAAGAGGTTTCCGCCCGAGGGACGATCCGGAAAACAACATCGCGTCTTCACTTCGCCCGTCAGGGATATTTCAGCTTACCTTCTCTTCTCAAACGACTCGACGTCGGGAACACCATCCACCCATACTTCAATCAGTGCTCGAATGCGGAAATTTATTTTTGCTCGAATGCTTGACAGCAGCATCAGTTCGACAACAACGCTTCTGACGCCGACACTCCTGACAGCAACATGAACGCCCATGGTTACGGCATTCAAACGATTTGCAGAACAGCAACGACCAGGTTGTCGGTGGTTATCTTGAAGATCTCCCTGACCCCGAAGATCTTGTCGCTCACCTTGGACATACTTACGCCGACCTTGGGGATCCTAGCTCATTTGCTTCTACGGGCCCTGAGCAGAGTATCGACTTCCACACGAGTTTCGAGGGGATGCCCCCAAACAGACCGGCCGACCAGGGCTTGGGCCCGACAGCCCTCCCAGAAACTGAACAGGCCAACAACAACAGCAATGACCTTGATTTTCAAGACGGAGTTACAAACGCTGCTCCTCCTCTCGCCTATGGGCTCGCCACTGGCCACGCCGCCATGTGGATATTTTACACTGTCAAGCATAGCAGAAGCAGTCCGGTAGCAACGCTTCTAACTGCCACACTTCTGGACAAGACACGGCGAACATGAAAGAGATTATGAATTACTACGGTCTCGCGGCCGACGATGAGGACATTTCTCGCACACGCCCAAGTCACTGACACTATCACAATGATCGCCCATCACGCTCAGCAAGCCCACCCCGGGCCTATTACCGCTCGCGGTTATTTCGAATCAACGACATCAAACCAATCCTCGGGGCAATGCTGGCTGCAACTAGCCCCCGCGTTTTCCGGAAGGCGATGTTTGGGGGGCGTTTGGGGTCTCGCAGAATTCCCTGGTTTGACAACCCTACTCGAAAGCTTGTTCGAAAGCCTGCTTCAAGGCAATTTTCAACTTTGCTTTCAACAACCCCCGCAGGCGGGCGGCATTTCACGGCGCTGGACGCTTTGTTTTCTTCGATTTTCGAATGTCGGCGGCGTCACTGCTCGAATTAGTCGAATAGGAGTGCTGGAAGCCTCCATTTGCTACTGGGGGAGCATCCCGGATTGTGTCGGGCGTTCGCATAGTCGCCCAGAAGGAGATGCCCCTTCTGTATACTCGTCTATGCATTGGGGAGGGGAAAGGAGCCCCCGAGGGTATCAAGGGTGCAGTGTGAGAGAGTTATGCTCGGAATGACTGCTCGAATGGAAGGGAGCGCTGGAACGCTTCTCGTCGAGTCTCAAGATTAAGCACATCAGGATCCTCCCGGTGGACTCTTGATCCTTTAGGAGTGTTCAGGGCACTCCCGAGGGCATCAAGGGTGCCGTCTGGGAGACCTGATGATTTCGACTTCAAAACGTTGCTCGAAAAGTTGTTCGAATGAAGGGGGGCGCCGGATACCTCTCGCGAGGTTTTGAAGATTGAGTATCTTCATGGTCTCTCGCTCCTTCTGTGCGAGATGACCGCACAGAAGGAGATGCTGCCCCAGTCAACTGAGCGCATCGTTGAGGTCCAAGGCACACCCGAGGGCATCAAGGGAGCGATTTGGGAATCTGCAATGTCTCGTCGACGATTGGCAGAGAGTCACGGGTACAGTCCTCCACAACCCTGTCGTTCGCACCCAGTCCGGTACAACAAACACGGCGTCGGCTTCTTACTTTTCCGAATAACAAACGCGCTGAGGCATAGGACCCAGCCAAGAGGACTCCAAGAAGCGTATCAAGATCACTCACGGAGAGTCTGCTATCATAAAGAAGATATGGGTCGAAATGGTCGTCTGCTAGAATCTGGCAAGCATCATTCTTTGAGTTTATGTTCGAAAACATGTTTCAATGGGAGGAGCCTGTCCCAGGATGATGTCGATGGTTATTTCACCACAAGCCGTCAGTCTCATCATCGACATCATCCTCGGGATACTTGAAGTCTTCGTCAATGCTTGGAGTCTGAGAATTATTGGCTAGGCTGAGGGCCGTCGCATTCCTGATGACATTCTCAAGATGAAGTTCCGGGGGTGAGGGTATCGACATGGATGTGTGGAGTGCTCGAATAATGGGAGACACAAGATTGAGGGTATGGATATGGACAATGGTGAAGCTTCGAAGGGAAGGAGATACGGAGGTGAGAGTATCGATGTGGATCTGGGAAGAGACCGAAGAGCAGCAAGTACGGGGGTGAGGGTATCAAGGAGGCTAAAAGGAGTGTTCGAAGAGGCGTCTGAGGTTCGAAGTTTTGGACATCAAGTAGCATTTGAGCCGAGGCACTCTCTTACGGCTGGTCAGCCTACTACTCATTCCTTTGAAAATGTTGTCGGAGAGCAGAGGGGTCGGACTGCATAGCTCGAAGGAAGCAGAAGAGATTTATGGTGGAGAGGACGACAGGGGGGATGAGCTCAAGATTACAGATCCTACCTAAAAGAGAACGGACAAAACGCTTTTCTCAATCATCAAGTCCTCAAGTTAGTGCATTTGTGAGAAGGGTATTGGGGAGGAAAAACCCATAAGAAGCCATGGACGCAGGTTGGTCTCACTCTCTGTGTGTTTGCACCTCTTCGTCGATCAAAATCTGTTAGGTATATTCATGTATCGTGACACTGCCTCGCCGAGAATCATTCAAACTTTGGTGGATGTAGTCCACCTCTCATCCTAGGCCTCGAAGATTTTACTTCCCGTTCCCCATGTTCATTTCTGCGTCAAGCTAGAAAGAGAAGAACAATGCCGCCACCAGCGCAGCAAGTCCAAGACCAAGCGAAGGCGCAAAGCCACTCGCAGCATTAGGCTTGGTACTCGAGGTCGCGGTACCAGTGACAATGGTACCAGGTGTCGTCGAGGTAGGCGTAGCATCGGTCTGCTGCAGGATGTAGATCTCTCCCGTGGAGTCAGAGGTCATGAACAAGCGGTTCTTGGCGTCCCAAGCGAGACCGACGGGGCGAAAGCACTGGTCGGGGCAGGTGCTGAGATCCTTGTTGTACATGATATTCTTGAGCGCGTCGGTCGAGTCGCTCTTGGCGACAGGTTCGCCGTTCGAGAAGTCGACTGCGGTGAGAGCGTAGCCGACGGGATTGGGGCGGTTGACTGCGCGCTATGTTAGCTTTCTGATGGACTTGTGACCAGGGGGGGGGGGAGACTCACAGCTGCCGCGGAACGACATGAATGCCTTTGACCCGTCGTTGTTGAACTTGAGGAAGACGGGGGACGAGTGAGACTGGAAGGTCAGGCGGGGAGCGACGAAGTCGTTGTGGCAGCGGGTGTCATTCATGGTCGAGTTCTGCTCCATGGAGAACTGGTCGCCGACGTTGAGAGAGCTGTTGAGCGGGATACTGGTGTCCCAGACAGCGAAGCATCGCGGGTAACCGTAGTTGCCGGCGTCGGTCTCGTTCGCAATGGTACCAAGCAGGTTGAGCTCCTCGCCGGGGTTGTTGGCGTGGATGTCGACGCCGTTGCGCGTGATATCGTCAATGGAGTTGTCCATCGCCCAGACGTTGCCCGTAGCCGGGTCCTCAGCAACGGCGACAGCATTGCGAATACCCCAGCCAAGAAGCTTGCCATCCGTGTTGAAGTCGAAGGGGTTGTTGCCGGACTTGCTCAGGTCAAAGGCCTTGACTTGAGCGTGACCGCTGTTGGCATCGAGGGCGTCAATGTCAAAGTTCTCGTCGACGCCGCGGGACACGACAAGCCAGTTGCTAGAGGCCTTGGACATGACCAGGGTGCGCGTAGTTTGATCGTTGTTGGCCATGTTGTTGATGACGACAGCGGGTTCGGCGTTGACGGTGCCAGCCTTTGCGTCGTAGGCCCAGGCGAGGACTTGGGAGACGGAGGAAGCGTACAGGGTCTTGCCATCTTCTGAGAAAGCCATGCCGTGTGTGAGCTGGAGGATGACATGTTAGCACTATTACCGCCTCCGGGGATTCAAGGAAGTGAAGCCTCACTTTTGTGTTGTTGACAAGTAGCTTGCTCTCGGTCAACGTCAGACATGTACCGCCATTGTCCTTGAATGTGACGCGGTAAACACCAACAGCGGCGTCCAGGACGAGCAGAGCACCCTCGCTGTCAACGTGAATTGTGCGAGGCTTCTTGAAGCCATTGGCGACGAGCTGTGCTTGCCAGCCAGCGGCGACCTGAGGAGCATTGTAGCTGGGGGTAATGATATCGGCGCATTGTTGCGCGAGCGCCGTGGTGGCGGCTGCTACCGCGAGCGCGGCAGTTGTCAATCCCTTCATTTTGGCTGGGGTGGGGTAAAGGAGCAAATCTGGATTCAAGCAATCGCGAGAGGCTACAACGCTGTCACCTTTGAGAACTGTCGAGCGTACATAAATAAAATTCCCCTGATATATTCAAGGTGAGGGGAAGCTCAGTGGCAAGGTGAAGAGATCAGTTAGCCACAAAATAGCTTCGGAGCAGATTGGAACATGTCCCGCGAGACGGGTAGCGAGGCATCTGTCGACTTTCAGGGTGGCTGTCCAAAACTCCACTTAAAAAACGAGAGAGACAAAGCTCTCTGGTTCGGGATAAGATGCCCCTCCATCATCCCCCCTCCATCGCCTCCTTGTGCGGCGGCTCGCGAGTGGTTGACATGTACGCGAGCGGGCGATCCTCTGTGCCTCTTTGGGAGCTGCTCACCTGCTCTAGCGCAATCGGTGGACGGTACGGCGACTGGGCGGCGGAATGGGTGGGTAAGTCGACCCATGGGAGCTCTTAGGGTCTTCGTTGGATGGAGGGATCAGAAAGCCTGAGAGGGATGGCATGACTGCGATGACGGTGGACGGATGGAACGACGCCTCACATGTGTGTGTCTGGCCGTGTTGGGTCCTTCGCATTGAGCCAACGCGCCGGCGTTGCTTTTGCGGCCAGCCACTCTGCATGGCATTGCTGCTGAGTGATGCAGACGGCAGTTAATGAGGGTATCGCGAGGGTGAAGCATTGGGTCTCTGGCTACGGGCTCACTACTCAGGCCTCAAGATGCTTTGGTGTTGTGGCGTGCAGTTAGAATGGTTCATATTTGTTGCCCTGAGCATTGGACCTTGCTTGAAGACAACACATGGACTGATGCGGAATGAGAAGTCTTCCTAGAGTATCTAACATCGTGAGAGACAAGGTCCGAATCCGGCCTCGAGGCATCGCTTCCCACCCAGCGACACAGGTCGAACAAGATCTGGATTGGTGTGGCGGATTCAGTAAGGCGCCAAAAAAAAAAGTTGTTCGAAAGGCGCACATTCTCTTCGTAGCGTCGCGTCGTCGCGCCATGCTATCGGACGGCTCACGTTCGATGTGGGGGAATAAGCATGCAAGACAACCTTAGCTGCGTCTGTTCAGTGGGCACAGGAGCGGGATCCACGACCCGACGGTGGCCGAAGGAGGCAGGTCGTCGGATTTCCGTCTGCTTGGAGCTGGGTCTAGGCGGATCGCGGGTGTGGTGATTCTGGCGATGAGGGGCAACCCATGTGGTGGTGGCCAAGGATCGTCGTCGAGAAGTTGCGACTCGAGACTTCACCATGATGTTGAGAGGCACTTACGGAACACAAGCATGAGGTGCAAAGCCCAAGTCATTATCTGTGTGCCTGTCGCTGATATGTCTTCACCGAGTTTGACACGATCGGGCAATACACCGTCACGAGCGTGAAGAGAGAATGTGCGTCCACATGTCTCTCAAGGTGACGGATTCAGCTTCAAGCTAGCACCACCAGCTTGAGCTTCACCGCTGCTAGTATGGCGTATCTGGGATGACACATGTTGGTTCCTGAACGGCGTCTTGGCTGGACTCTGGTAGCGCCCACAGATACGGGTTGTGCTTGCATTTGAATTCTCGCCAACGGGAATAGACCGAAGTCACGATGTTGTTAATAATCAACAAAAAGAAAGGCCGCAATGCAAGCAAGAAATCCTCCGCTCCCATAGAGTCCCCATTTCCGTAGGGCGAGTCCACTCTCCGGCCCTCTCCTCGGCGCATCTGTCGAGGCCTCGTTCTCTGCATACGGAGTACAGATCGATCATCACATATCGTTACACTTACCACACGGCATATCGGCTCTGTTAACCATGAATGAGTCTTGGCAAAAGTACGAGAAGAGCCAAGGCCTTGGTAGTGTCTGAACTCGTCCCTTTGCTTTGCCCTGACGCCCGTTGACCAACCACCTCTCTGTGTGAGCTCACGCTTCGCAATCGCAACCATCCTCCATCCTGCCATCCCACCACTTCGGACAAACATTTCTTACACTCCATCTTCTGAGTCTTGACACAAGCAAATCAAAGCCAAGAGCGTTGAAGCGTCTGAGCTAGACCACTCCCGTGTTACACCATGCACTGCAATCATGGTCGACTTTCGAAGACGCTGAGAATGTGCCCAGCCGATATCCTCATTTGATTTCTCTTGTCCAGTTAGACAACCTATGGTCGCGGACATGAAGTTTTTACACCTCATAGCCCGCAGACCGCGATCATGCCTCGTCACTCTGTAAAAAGTGGAATACGAGGCTGAGTCCATATCTCGCATCCCGAGGATGGCGATAGAGGCTATTTCACGGCAACGGCACAGATAAATCAGCACCACCGCCCTCCTGTCACGCAAAGAAACTGCTTGGCGGCCATCAGACTTTGCTGCTGAGTGGTGGCTGCAGGGCAGGGCTTGCAAAGTTGCTACCAACCCCGCACTAATCACTCTCTGATGGTGCCGGTAATAGGCTCATCGCCCATCCCATGGCCCGTATCGAGGCTGTTCCCTGTCTTCTCCGAGTCGTATCGCCCCTCTTCTCGACGAGAATCCCAAGTCCACCTTGCCTTGGCTCTAGCAGCTGTCGCTTCAGAAAGTTCAGCCCAGCCATCAAACCCCCTCCCCTGAACTTCCCTCTGAACGCGAAACGCAAGAGACACCGGCCCTACCTACACTACTGTGCAGTACAGGCGTTGCAAGTGGTGTTCGTCTGCTTTACCTGAGCTAAAACAGAGCTGTCTCTAGTTTCGCCTGTCAAACGTCAAGTTTGGGATCCTTCAGGAGGAGAACAGATGAGACGGCGTTCGATCTTCTGAAGTCTTTAGAGATGCTAGTCACCACACCGTAAGTTTGTGATACTCAAATGTCAAGACAGACCGGCAAACTCAACAGAGGACACTACGGCACTCCGGCACCGTGAATGGCGGCATGGCATACAGATAAAGTGAGTGCCTTTATGTTAATTACCAAACACACAAATCCATGGCACGCCGTGAGACATGCGCCCAGAGCACGCCAACACTTGCTCGACAGGGGCGTTCCGGGTTCCAACCATTGATTCTGGAGCTTGCCGAGACAACAACGTGCTGAACTGATGGTCGACTCCGTCCAAGCTCCATCTTCCAAGACCACGGTGCCCATCTGTCTGCGCCCTTCACCCTATCACCAACCTCCTTGGCGTTCTCCGCCCATGATCAACTGGTTGCCACGCTGCCGTGCCATGCCCGCGATTGTCTCTTGCCAAGCATGCGTTCCTCACGCCCAGCATCCTCCTCATTGGGTGCCGTATTGCCCATGATCCAGCGTTGGACTGCTGGTCCCCTCGCCAAAATGGCCTTTAGGCCTGAGGGAGCGGGACATGCGGAGCACAAGAAGAAAGGCCATTCCACCTTAGATTTCACCCCCTTCTCTTCTTCCCACTCGTCGCTAACTTGACTGGTCCGAGTCTTCCTCTTCCATTAAAGCCTTCAAGTTTCCTAGCGCCATCTGCTCTACTCTCCAGCCACCCAACACACACACGCACACACAAAGTGGTGCGCTACGCTAGCTCAACTGGCGCAACCAGCCCTGGACTTTGGGGACTCGGCTCGAACTCGAGAATCGCGAACGAATACGGATACATTTGCGTGCTTACTTACTGCCGCCTGCATCCGCTACCGCTACCGCTGCTTTGCTACCAACGCCCAATGCCCCTCCATTCCATGTTCGTATGACGCGTTGCGAGACCCCAAGCCGGCAAACATCCGCTTCTTCTGGGTCCTTGTTTTTTGCCCTTTCTTTCCTTGTGGATTCGCCTTGCTCAGCCGTGCCGCTTAATATTTGATACCCAGCAAGGTACGGCACGCTGAGCTGTAGAGGACCGGGACGAAGTGGTCCATCACCAGCCGATCTCTGCTTTCTCTTACGATCCATGTCGATCTGTTGTTCTTAGAGACGCAGCTCATTGCGACCTAGTTTCCCTCGAGATATCCTTCCCTCTCCTGCAACTTGAGACCTCTCATCATATTGGAGCGAACAAAGGTGGACTCGACTCAGGAATATACGGGCGAGGATTCTTCTACATGCACTTTCACCGACTGCGTCTGTGCTCCCCCGACATCTGAAGCTTCGCACAGCAGCGAGAGATCTTTCAACACTATGTTCACAAACACACAACGACTGCTGTCAGCCTTTGCGGCGACGGCTCTCTTGTTCGCAACCTCATCATCAGCCGCGGCCGTCCAACCCCGGCAAGGTCCAGGTCCGGTCAACGACTGGATCTCCGTTGACTCAAATGGCAATGCCCGAACCATCTCACCATCAGTCGTCACTAGCAATGGCGCACGCACAACAATCAGCCCGCCCCCATACTCATTAACAGGCTCAGTCTACACCGTCACGGCCACCACCGGTGGACTCACAACCAGCACAGGCGTACCGCCGCCGCCGCAAGCAAGCAATACCCAGGGGTTTGGAGGAGTTTTCGCCGTGTGCAACAACAGGGTCGGCCAGGATGGGCCGTTTTGTCAACCTCGACGGGGTAGCACTCTACACGTGGAGTCGACGTACTACAGTAAGCTTAAATTCATCCCGTCCCGTTCATGTCTGAATCGCGGGACGGCCTCTAGTACCTCAACCCCGATTTGCTAACGATATTCTTAAAAAGTCACTTGGGATACGACATTCTTCGCAGACCCCGCTACGCCCATTGGCATCGTCGGCTTCGATGTAGACAACGGCATCACCGACAACGCACCCGCATTCTCCGTAACAAACCTCAGCGGCGGCGATGGCTGGGTTCCTTGGACCCCCCACCTCACCGACCTCGAAAGCAAGACCTCCAACAACATGACCATCATCCTCATGTACAACGACCCGGACACGGGCGAAGAGAAAAACCTCACAGGTCCCGTATTCACCCTGAGAATGGCAATGGACACCGACGCACCCAACTCGAGACCGAACCTTCTGGCCATCCTATTACCCGTCATCCTCATCTCGCTCGCCATCGCCGCCTTCATGGTATGGCTGTACATCAGGCGCCGCCGCCGTCACGCGGCCGTCGCTGCCGCGGTGGAACGCCAGAACGCGGCGCATCCCACGGGACAGCCGCGGAGCATGCATGGGCAGAAGGGCAGCGCGGATATCCAGCTTGAGCCGACGAGTCCGCCGCCGGGTTCTACGCCGGGGAGAAATGTGTTCCAGGAGGAAGTCCGCAGACAGGAGCGGGAGAGGGCGTAACGAATGAGTGATACGACACAGGCATTGGAAACGGGTAATGACAGGAACCTGGTCTGGCGGAGATCCGTTTAGACTTGATGGAATAGGGAGGGGGTACTTCGTTCGGTAACGACTTTCCGGCGATATCCTCGTCTCAAAATGAGGGCACGGGATCTATGACTATCTACATACCATGAATCAAGAGACGGATGGGATGTACCACCGCCCAACTTTGATGTTCCATCCTCAACAACAAGGCGGCGCTAATGCTATCAAATGCAGTGTGTGAGGTCTGACTAAACAAACCCAACGTACCCAGGCGGCCATAATGCCGGGTTACCAGAGTCAACCTCTTGACTACTACCGTTGCATTCAGCGGTATACAGAGAATGGCCTTGTTGAAACCACTGCTCTGATTCAAAGGCAAATCATGACCGTTGTCCGCCTAGTACCATGTCCATTAGTCGACCAAGGTAATTCCAGCAATGAGTATCCATAGAGATCCAACATCATGGTGATCAATCTACTGCGGTGGACTACCGGCCGCATCGGACCCGCGGGTGGCCGCGGAGATCCGTTCGCTTGGTGGAGTATCAAGGGATCTATCACCACTCGCAACCTTCTGTTGCTCAACTCGGCTGCCACAATTTTGACTTGAGGGGGAATTTGGCCCGTCAAGTAGGAGTAACTATGACCCAACTGAACCATGGTCCAAACGGACAGAGTGCTAGTCACGATTGGGTATCAGCATCCGTCCATGGCATGTTGCAGGGTGAGCGACTGGCAGCAAGGTTGAGCCAGTCTAGATCGGCCTCGAGCGGCCTCGAGCTTGGCCTCCAAAGATCGTTCTGCTTCATTCCACCACACAGTGAGGTAAGGCGAAGATAGGCTTTCAATATGGACAGGTGCGTTCCAGTGACAATGGAGAAATATCGAGTTGCCCGAGCTCCACATGCACTCGAAATCAACCGCTTCTTACAAAATACACTGAGTGACTGATTCCACGGAGACTGAGGTGCCGAGAGTAAAAGCCATAGACACTCTTTGGGTATAGTGAGTGGCATCGGCCCTTCGGGAACAGGCACGCTGACTTCTTCACGTTGTCCAGATCAAATCCATCGTCAGATCAAGTCCACTTTCATAACTTAGCGACGAACTTCTTGCCACCCTCCAAAGAACACAACCCGTCGGTCATCCGCACCAGATCCCTCCTCAAAATCTTCCCCGTGGCGTTTCTCGGGAGCTTATCGACAATCCAGACACCGCCTCTAAGCTTCTTGTAACCGCTGACTTGCTCGTCTATTGCTTTGTGGATTTCCCTCAAAGCTCCAACAATCTCGCGCCCCTCCAGTTTGTTTGTGTCGTCTTCTTTCAGCACTACCCATGCGGCAGGGACCTCCGTCAACTGGCTCTCATCCCAGAGGGCCCCGACGCCAGACTCCCTCACAAGAGGATGAGAGTTGAGAATCTGCTCGAGTTCCGTCGGACTCACCTGAAAGCCCTTGTACTTGATCAAATCCTTTGTTCGCCCAACAATTGACAGCCGTCCCTGCTCATCTATGCGGCACACGTCCCCGGTATTGTACCACCCTTCGACGGGGAACGCCTCCCTGTTCGCGCTCGGATTGAATGCGTAGCCCCGCGTGATATTCGGACCCCGGAGCCATAACTCCCCAGGACCGCCCAGGGGTGCGTCTTCAGTCGTTCCTTCCTTGTAAAGAGCGGCCTCTATACCGGGCAAAAGCTTCCCAGTACATCCATCGGGGACAACTTCGTCAAACCCCTGGTAGGCCACATACCCAGCCGCCTCCGTCATCCCGTACGCCTGAATGAGCCTCCACGGCGCTCGGCTGAGTAGCCTCGAGAGTTGCGCCGGCTTCAGCAGCACGCCGCCGATATTAATGACTTGTGCCTTGGAGAAGTCATATCGCTCCGTCACATCCGAGTTTGCTAGGCCTAGCACCACGCTCGGTACGCCTTGGAACATGGTCGCTTGTGTAGAGCCCACGAGCTCGCCAAATTCTTCGATGCTGTACTGCGGCATCGCGTGATGGAACATACCGGTATACGGGCCGAGAAAGAGGGGAGCCGTGGTCATGGCGATGTGAGCCCAGGGTGTGAATGCGACGATTCTGCAGGCCGAGTTGAACATTTGGCGCTTGTGGTCTAGGGCGACGAGTTGCATGACGTTAGCGACGAAGTTGTAGTGCGTCAGCTCGACACCTTTTGGTTTCCCTGTTGTTCCAGATGAAAGGTGTATTGAGGCCAGTCGTTTCGAAGTGTCTGGCCAGTGTGGTATGGTGAGCTGCCTTGAAGCCATAAAGTCATCCGGGATATGTCTCGCTTGTCTGCTTTGTTCCACGATAGACAGTATTGGCGGTGGTTTCCAGAGTACTCCTTCCTGACGAAGCTCGCTCGCCGCCACATCCACGGCGTCCCGGATGGCGGTCTCTAATATTGAACCATACGCAACGATGAAGTGAGGTCTTGAGACCGCGATACCGTGGCCAATCTCAGATGCCTTGAGAGCATGGTTAATGGGACACACAACACCGCCTGTCCAGAGGATGGCATGGAAGATCTCGAGAAACTCGACACAATTTGGCACCACAATGACCCAGCGTGCCTGATCCGGTGGATTCAGCTTTTCCGCAAGCCCCCTTGCAATTCGGCCAGCGCGGTTCCGTAGCTCGCCGAGAGTGATGCTCCGGTTTGTCAAACTATCGGCGGCGATGACATGAGACTCGGGTATTGGGCTCGCGTTTGTGTGAAGCAATTCGGTGAGGTTCAGTTCGCGAGGAATCTCGATGCGTTTAGATGTGTATATCCTCATGGTCGTGATGGTCGGTGCATTCTCTCTTTTGAGTTTTGGTCTCAAACACACTGTCGGATGAACGAGCTCTCGACAATGACATGAACAACCACAAGATCCCAGGATGAAAGGAATAGTCGCAGAGTCGTATTCTCGATCAGCGTCAGGAACAGTCGGTACGAAATAGTCCGACGATGACGGCGAGCAAAAGAGCCTTACTTTGTCTGAGCCGCTTATGCTGTTGAACTCGCGCTTACATCCCACCTTTCCTAGACAACTAGAGTTACCGCGCGGGATGAGTGAGCGGCTTCTGCGGACCTTATTCGACGATTCCCTGCGTCGGATAATGAGGCAAAAGGAATGCGCGGAGTAGCAGGGAATAGGTTGGCTACTGAAAGGCAGATATCCCTTCAAGCGTCGCCCTAAGGCGAAATGCAATCAGCAACCCTCCACAAGGTAGAGGAGGGGGGGAGACCGAGACAATGATGTGCGGAGAAGAGAGCACCTCTGCATGAAACTTCTGAATCACCATGGTCTTGGTCGCACTCGGGGAGCATCCGCAGGCGCAACTCTGCCAAACAGACTTTCTGCGGCGATCCTTGTGGGACGCTGTAGGTGCGAGGTCAAAACGTCGAGGCGGCAGCTCGAGCGGCGCCGTCGGCACGGTTCGGTGTTTTGAAGGGCGAGAGGGTCATACGATGGCCTCAACGTCGAAAGAACGTTTCTAGTGCTCGAATGATATATCCGCGGGCTCTTCGATTCAAGGTTAAGTCACACTAAATAACATTCATCCTGCCATATGGATCCGCCTCGACGACCTATACGCATCGGCAATTGCTCTGGCGCCATCAACGACGGCATTGATCAGATATACCGCCTGGCCAAGTACGGCAATGTAGACGCCATCACTGCCGACTACCTCGCAGAGTTTAACATCGCCTGGAAGGCAATCGAGCTCCAGACCCAACCAGAGCTGGGATACGAGCCAAACTTCCTCGAGCAACTCGCCTGGCACAGTGGCGATGCAGCGCGCCTCGTCGCCGAGAAAGGCATCAAAATCGTCCACGATGGCGGAGCCCTGAACCCCCGGGGCCTCGCCAACAAGACGCACGCATACTTTGAGAGCCTTGGCATCCGCGACGTCAAGATCGCCTGGGTAAGCGGCGACAACGTGACCGATGCCGTAAAACGCGGCGCGTTCGGGCGAGTCATGCATCTCGACCAGCCCGGCGTCGAGTTTGATCCGCACTCGCAGGGTGACGATCTCCTCGCGGCCAACGCCTATACGGGCATGGCTGGCATCGTGCGTGCGTTGGAGCTCGGCGCCGACATCGTCATCTGCGGGAGATGCACCGATGCAAGTCCCGTAATGGGGCTTGCGACGTGGTGGCATGGGTGGAAGACGACGGAGTACGATGTGCTTGCTGCGAGTCTGATGGCCGGTCACTTGATTGAGTGCGGACCGTATGTGACGGGAGGGAACTACTGCGGTCAGCGTGAGGTGCCAGATCTCCATCATGCCGGGTTCCCGATTGCGGAGATCGGAGCCGATGGCGGCGCTGTCATCACGAAGCCGGAGGGTTCCAATGGGCTGGTGTCTGTTGATACTTGCAAGGCGCAACTGCTTTATGAGATACAGGGCGTCTACTATCTCAATCCGGATGTTGTAGCCAATATTGAGAAGGCAACCTTCACACAGCTTGGTAAAGGTCGCGTTCGACTATCGGGTGTGAGGGGTTTGCCGCCACCGTCTACGACCAAGCTGTCCATCTGCTTGATGGGAGGGTACCAGGCCGAGATATCGGCGTATGCGACTGGCCTAGACACCGACTTCAAGTTCGAGGTGCTTAAGAGCCAGGTGTTGGGCCAAATCAACCAGTCCGATTTTACGACTTTGAGCATAGAGAAGTACGGTTCATCAGTGGCAGATCCGCGGTCACAAAAGCTATGTACGACGCAATTCCGCATGTTTGCACAGTCTCGGACCAAGGCAGCGTTTGAGCAGTTCAAGAAAGCAATCTTCTATAATGGCTTACAAGGCTATTGTGGTCTTCATCTAGGTATGGACTGGAGGACTATGGAACCGAGGCCGTACGTCAGGTACTTCCCGGCCCTGATACCACAGTCCCGGATTCCCCTGTTCGTGAGTTTCATTGGTGGTGAGAAACAGCATACCATCGAGGCACGTCAGGATGGCGGCACACCCCCTCGCCAGCCCGATTACGATGCCACAGTGCCGTTGTCGAAAGTCCAGCTGTCCAGGACAGTGAGGAGACCGCTGGGGGATCTCGTCTTTGCGCGGAGCGGCGACAAGGGGGGCAACGCCAACGTGGGCTTCTGGGTACGCAACGCTTTAGCGTGGCCATGGCTGCAGGCTTTCATGACAAGACGGAGGCTCATTGAGCTGCTAGGAGATGACTGGCAAGCTCGTTACGTGGTGGAAAGGTGCGAGTTCCCAGGGCTCTGGGCGGTTCATTTTGTGATCAAGGGGATCTTACAGGAGGGCGTTAGCAGCAGCAGCGTGCTCGATGGGTTTGCGAAAAGCCTCGGGGAGTTTCTACGTGCCAGAGTTGTTGGCCTGCCGGTTGACTTGGTCAAGGTTGAGGATGACCGCCGGCCACACAGATTTGAAAGCCGTGCCCGATCATCAAGGTTATGAAATCTCGAAAGTTTTTTGTATATGTGAATAGACAGGCCCTCTCTCTGAGAAGTCACTAAAAGAGGATCGACAATACCTTTGATTGAGTAGTTCGCGGAGGGCTCTTTCGCAGTGTCAACATTACTTGTGACCCACGACTGGCCGAGGGGATAGACTGCGGAGTACCTCGGTCAAGGTTAAGCGCCTGAGAGCGCCATTTTGGCAGTGCGACAGCGTGGTCAGTCGTCTCACTTAGCGGTCTGTGTCCCCTGGCATTTCAGCCTGTTGCTGAGGCCATGTCAATCTTTGTCAACCTCTCTATCAGCAACTTCATTACTCACCATCATACTAAGTACTCGGTTCAACTCGATAGAAATAAGACTACACGCCATGGCTTCGAACGATAGGCCGGTAAAGAACGCATCTGGCCTCTACGACAATGTTGATTTCCGCAAGGCCGCCGGCTACGAACATGCCCCCATCAAGTGCGCCTACAACCGCCGTGATGTTCTACTCTTCGTAAGAAGCATCTCTGCATCTCTTGATTATGCTCAAGCCATGTTCTAAGAGTGGCTGCCATTATGTTGGGTCAATGAAAGTGCCAGCTAAACCACTTGCTAGGCGAATGCCATCGGCTGCCAGAAGGAAGAGTTACATTTCCTCTACGAATTGCACCCAAACTTTGCCGCCTTCCCCACGTTTCCAATCAATCTCGCCTTCAAGCAGACGGACCAAGATGTCTTTGACTTTATTGCCCGCACCGTGACCGGCCACGTCCCGGGCTGTCCGCCATTCGACGCCCAGCGTTCCGTGGACGGAGAGAGAGGCATTGAGATCCTCCGCCCCATCCCCGTGTCTTCGGATGGACTTGACTTGGAGGTTCGAAGCAAGGTCATCGGAGTCTATGACAAGGGTGCGCAGGCGTTTCGCAGGAAATCGCGAAATACAAGGCTAACTCGCCTATAGGCGGCGCAATGATTCTTGAAGCAGAACAGCTGCTGGTCGACAAGAAGACCAACACAGCTTACACCAAAATGACATCCACCGCCTTCGGCATAGGACAAGGCGGCTACAACGGCCCCCGGGGCCCAACAAAGCCGGCCGTGAAAGCACCAGATCGCGCCCCGGACGCTGTGCACATCATCAAGACCACCCCGGAGGCAGCTCTTCTTTACCGCCTCTGCGGCGACTACAACCCACTTCACGCAGACGAGGCATTTGGGCAGCGCGCCGGATTCAAGGGGTCTATCCTCCAAGGCCTGGGCACCTGGAACATGGCTGCACATGGTTTGCTACAGAAGTTGGGCGGCGGCGACCCAAGTCGTTTTAGAGCGTACGGGGCCAGGTTCAAGAGCGTCGTTTATCCCGGAGACACCCTCGAGACGCGCATGTGGGTTGTCAAAAGCGGAGGCGGGGTGGACGATGTTGTCTTTGAGACGATCGTGAAGGATGATGGACGAGTTGCTCTGTAAGTCTACTCCAGGTGGCATCCTCACCGCCAAACCCTCCTTGTTGCGAGAAGGGACGCTGACAATCACGAAGGTCCAATGGCTACGCCAAGATTTTGCAAGCGAAACCAAAGATGTGATCTTTATGCCGCGCACGTGGAAGCTTTCCAGGGATACAGCTCGTGGCCTTCAGAGGAGGTTTCCGTCTTTGAGGCAGAGTTTGCGCCGTGTATCATATTCGTCCAAACTCGGACTCAGTCGCGAATATAGGTCCATCTGTGCTGCTGCAATACCGGTCGTCTTATGACTTTTCGAGTCAGAAGAAGGAGAAAGAGTTGTCCTTCTTGAGTCGGCAGAGTTCAATTGAAGGAAACGACGACACTGGCCAACAGGTTGAGGTAAGGCTTGTCCGTGCAGATTGCGTGCTGTTTGAACGAAGCATCTCATCGGCATACCAGGCAATGCTGGCCAGTGTCAAGTAGTCAAAGTTTCTGTTGGAGAAGACCAAAGTTGACCTCGGCAGGCCACACATCCACGCAAATATCTCAAGATAGCATCAAAAATGAGGTTGGATTAGTCTACGAGGGCACAAAGAGCAAAAGTTGCGTCGAGGGGGAATCGAACCCCCGGCTCCCCGACGCTGCTTGATGGCAACGGAGAATTTTACCACTAAACCATCGACGCGATTCGTTGGATGAAGATATTGCGAGCTGTAAGATCTCTTGTAGCGAGCTTGCGTGGCCGCCAAAATTTTGTTCAAATCCTCCCAGCTACAGATGCGAAGGAAACCACTTGGGGTCTCTCTTCTCACGATATGCCGCCAGTCCTTCAGTCGCGTTCTTGCTCCGAAGCATTGCCTCGGCCCATAACTCCTGTCCGCGCATAGTCGCTCTGCTAACGCCAGTCTCCCATGCTTCCCGCGCCGCCAATCGCGAGATAATGACGCTGTCGGGACTCAGTCCAGCGATCTGGCTAGCATAGTCGAGTGCTCTCTCCAGAAGCCTCTCTTGCGGCACAATCTCCTTGACCAATCCCCAGTTGTGTGCCTCTTCTACTGATAATGTCCGGCCTGTGAGTATGAGATCCATCGTCCGGTGATTACCAAAGAGCATCATGCAACGGGGCAATGCGCCGGCGAGGGCAGATACGCCGCGGAGGACTTCGGGGAGACGAAATGTTGCGTTTGGTGAAGCAAAGATGACATCGGCGTTGAGAATGGCTTCAAAGCCACCACCTACATGCCCGTATTAGCTCTATCTTAGCACCTGCATCCGCAGCAATGTCCTCAAATTCCAATGTCAAGCATACCGTGAGCGTGGCCGTTGCATGCGACAATGATCGGTTTCTTCCCTGTCCGATTGCTCATGCCCGCAAATTGACCTGGTGGGTAGTCAAAGGCGACGTCGTTTGTCTTGATGATATCCAATCTCTGCTTCAGGTCCATGCCGGCGCAAAAGGCCTTGGTTCCAACTCCCGTGAACACGGCGCATCGCAGCTCCGGTTCGGTATCATACCATTTCCACAATGCACCGAGTTCTATCGTCGCCTCCACGAGGAGACAATTCATATGCTCCGGTCGGTTTATCTTGACAAGAAGGATGTGTTTCCGCGGAAAGGATATCAGACTGTGTTCAATATGCGGGTAGGGATTCTCAATCCAAGAAGGGACTGGCTTCTTCGTCCTTGGCGTCGCCATCTTCGTGATCGAGTGGCTCGCTTGGCTGTGAGTCTTACTTTGGGTTACTTGGTGCCGATGCCGTGGAACGCTGCGCAACCTGTAGTGATCTGTCTCGTATCACCCTGTTGCTGTACCTTCGAGGCTTCGATACCTAACTCTGGTGTTCCAAAGAGTCGAAGTACCTCTCCATCATCCTTCTCGCCAAGTTGATCAACAGACAATCACAAGATGTCGTAGACACACCTCGTCACGTAATGATACCTGACTTCCCGGCCAGAGTAGTGCACAGTGACCTGCCACACATGCCCAATGCCCACAGACGAGAACGAGCGCAACCCCTCCCCTAACGATCCGTTGACGGATGCTCCCTAGCGAGTCGCATAGGCAAGCCGCCTCGGCAATCCAGGCGGGAACATCCCTGTGGCCCATCACTGCGGGGTGTCCCACGATTTCGCTGTCCCTCTTTCAACCGCTGTAAAGACGCCAGAAACGTGTGTCCCGCTGAACACGATTGGAGAGCGAGTCAAAGCCCCTGCGAAACCTGGCGCAATGGCCGTCGAGGAAGGCCAAAGCATCGGGGATGTGTGCCATGCAGGCGGAAGCCTTCTTACCCTCCCCCGATGGACGCGCCACGGAAAATAGCCCGAGTGGGGGTTAGGTGAATCTTGGATCCGGGATGTTTCCTTCGAGGACCGGATGCTAGGATTGTCGTGTGTTCTACGACTTTATTCGAGCCCGCGAAGCTTAATAGAGGGCGGGAGTATGCAAACGAACTCCGACACAAGCAGTTGACATCGTGATAGTATCACCAAGTGCGCAACGTGATCACGGCACATCACAAGATCATCAAGACTGCTTCAACAAGCTCGAAATAAACCGGACCGTAGTATCAGAAAAATCCTCGGCATGATGGGGTTCAAGACAGAAACACCGCAGCCAGCAACGCCAGTTTTTCTCAGGCTTTCATACCCAGCTCCCCGGGTATTGCTTGTTCGAATGGACAGGCCAAAAGACCTCAACGCCATGTCTACAGCAGCCCAGTGGGAGATGGACTCGGTCTGGAAATGGTATGACCAGGAACCAAATCTCAGCGTCGCAATCATCACAGGCACGGGAAGGGCCTTTTCTGCGGGAGCAGACCTCAAAGAGTGGAACAACAGCATGGCCGACGACGCCGATCCAAGCCAGCGCATGGGCAACGCGCCTGCTTTCAAGCCCTTGAGCAGGAGATTGGGCAAGAAACCAGTCATTGCCGCAGTCAACGGTCTCGCCATGGGTGGCGGGTGCGAATTCGTAGTCAACTGCGACCTCGTCGTCGCCGCCGAAGACGCTTACTTTGGGCTTCCCGAAGTCAAGAGGGGCATCGCGGCCATAGGCGGCGCTTTGCCGCGACTCATACGGACCATCGGACTTCAGAGAGCAAGCGAATTCGCGCTGACGGGGCGTAACGTCTCGGCGCGGGAGATGGAGCAATGGGGTATCGTGAACAAGGTAGTGTCCAAGGAGAAAGTTGTCGAGGAGGCGGTGCGTTATGCCAAGATGATTGCAGCCAACTCCCCGGATGCCATTATATGCACTCGAGCTGGATTGAGGCAGGGCTGGGAAACGGCATCTGTAGAGCGAGCAGTTGAGTGGACGCTGGAGAAGGAGTTTGCAGAGCTGCAAAAGGGCGAGAACATCCTTGAGGGCCTCAAAGCATTCTCTGAGAAGCGAGAACCCCATTGGAAAGGTAGCAAATTGTAAGATGGACGGGATCTAATTCCAAACATGCCGTTCGAAGGGGGGAAGCAGAAGATCCCGTCTGATGAGAAACCCGGACGAACTAGATCTGTGTGGCCTTCCTCTCCCAAAGCTTTTGCTCGACCACCGTCTAGACTAATCAAACCCGTCGTCCGAAACCAGTTGAGATCGACCAGCCAGGTTTGTCCTTCTTTGTATATAGTCGAAGTATTGAAAAGGCTACCAGGACTTGGGTTGCATGCGCTGGCAACTGCACGTTTTTGTCAGCGTTGCAGATAGACCAGGTGATGGGAAGTGAGGGCAGCCATCACCAATATCGCCCATCACATCAGACTGGTGTACCATCGGTCCGGCCCCAAAACGGGTTTCAACTATCAGTCCAGTGCAGCGCCTTTCACCAGCTTGATATCCCGTCCCGATTCAACAATTTGAGTCAGCAGCGAGCTAATGATTCGAACCACTGTCGCGGCCAGATGCTGAAATCCCAAAGTTGTTGTGCTCAGGTCGTGGGGTGGTCTTCCCCGCAGGCCGGCGCAGGGAGAGGCCCCGACTGCACAACCAGACTCTGTGAAAGAGTTTCGAAGAGGTTCGAGTCTTCCGGGGGACACCTTGGTATGCGTATGCCGTGGGACGGTGAAGCCGCGTTACTGCGTGTGAAGAGGGAGGGGCGGGCGGGCAGAGAAACAGATGGACACATGCAGGCAGACAGACAGACGGCAAGCAAGTCAGACCAAGACTTGCATTGCATGTCTTGGGGTTCATCTTACTGCTGACCTTGTCCCGTCACTCAACCCTCATTCGACACTACGCCGCACATATACAGTCCTCCGTCGACGTCTATAGATGGCACGTTGGTCGAGAAAGGTTGTATAAGACTCGAGCACGGCCTAGAGCGCGCAAGATCCCGCCCGTCGAAACCCGTGTGACGACTTTCAATTCGAAATACCGACATACTGCGAGCTGGTTCCCGCATATCGATATACCGATCATCCATCATGGATATCTCCAAGAACGAGTCCTATCGCGAGTTCGATGGGGCTTCGCTGGAGAAATACCGTGAGTTCGACCGCGATACCGACCGAGACGATGCTTCTTCGATCCGTTCCGAGGCGCTCGGCGATGATCTCCCTCCAGGCTACTACTATTCTCCTCAGTTCCTAGGGGCCATGGCGGTTTGTCGACACCTTTGCCAAGACCTGGATGTTCACTAATATCATCTAGGGGTTTTGTCTTTCAGCAATGTCGGCATACATCTTCTTGATCCTGCCAACCAACGTGCTGACATTCATCAACGCTGATATCGGTTAGTACATCCGGTAATGATGTAAAAGATGTCATATGCTTACATTAGATAGGTCCGAGCCCATATATCTCCTGGGTCAACATTGCCAGAACTCTCTCGCTGTCATTCACCTACACGATCCTGGGCCGCTTGTCAGACCTTTTCGGAAGACGATGGTTCTTCATCGGTGGCAACGTCGTCGCCATCGTCGGAATCGTCGTGTGTGCTGTGGCGCACAATGTCGAGACACTCATCGTTGGTGCCGCCATCTATGGCCTGGGCGAGACGGTCCAGCTGAGCTTCAACGTTGCCGTTGGCGAACTGGTTCCCAACAAGTACCGTCCTGTCGTCTTGTCTCTCATCTTCTTGACCAATGCCCCCATCTCCGCGTTTGGCCCTTTCGTTGGTGAGTTGATGGCGAGAGGCCCATTTGAGGATACATGTAGTTGCTCACTATATCTTAGCCCGGAAATTCGTCGAGAACCCCAATCTCAGCTGGAGATGGTGTTTCTACGTCAACATCATCGCCGTGGGACTCGCCATCGTTCTCTTGTACTTGTTTTACCACCCACCCACCTTTGAGCTTCTCCATGATCGCAAGACCAAGCGCGAGCTGCTCAAGGAACTGGACTGTAAGTTGACTTTCCTGGTTGGCCTCTCATATCCCCTCAATGCTAACATGATGCAAAGATCTTGGCATCTTCCTGTGGACTGCTGGCCTCACTCTTCTCCTCATGGGTGTATCTTGGGGAGGCGTCATGTTCCCTTGGGACTCTGCAGCTACCATCTCGAGCTTGGTTCTTGGTGTCGTTCTTCTGGTGGCACTCTTCTGCTGGGAGGCCTTTGCGGATCTGAAGTATCCTGCCATCCCTATCAAGTTCTTTGCCAACCGTGGTTTCATGGCACTTGTGTGCTGCGCAACGGTTGCTACAGTAAGTATCCCCCACCCCCTCCAACAAGTTCTGCGTGGCTAACAGATTCGAAGATGTTTTACTACTCCGCTGTCTTGCTATGGCCACAGCAGGTTCAGGCCTTGTACACGACTGATATCACCTACGGCGGTTGGCTCTCGGTAAGCAGACCTCAGACCAACGTCTCTCGCATGCAGCTAACAGTCATTAGTCCACTGTGGCAAGTGCTACAGCGCTTGGTCAAGTTTGCGCAGGAGGCATCGTGAAATGGGGAGGCAACGTCCGGTACTGGATCATCTTCGCGACCTTCTGCATGGTCGGCTTCGTCGGGGCGCTCGCGTCCCTGACCCCTGAGACACTGAACACAGGAATCGCCCTCACCATCCTCGGCCCGTTCTTCGTGGGCTTCATCGAGCTGGCATCTCTCGCTCTGGCGCCCCTATTCTGCAAACCCTCAGATATCGGCCTCGCCTCGGGTCTCCTCGCATCCATCCGCTCGGCCGGAGGCTCCATCGCCGTCGCCGTCTACACGACGATCCTGTCAAATCGCCTGGCAACGGAGATCCCGGCAGCTATTCGCGGCCCAGCCGTTGCTGCGGGTTTGCCCTCAAGCCAGCTCCCGGCCCTTGCAAAGGCAGTGCAGGCCGGAAAACTGGCCGCATTCCCTGGCTTGACGAGTGCCGTCAAAGCTGCCGTGGCAAAGGTGCTTCCGACTGCGTACTCGAAGGCGTTTGAGACGGTTTATCTGGCGAGTCTGGGCTTCGGAGCAATCGCGATTGTCGGATGCTTGTTCTCCAAGGATGCTCAGAAGCATCTGACGAATAAGGTGGAAAGACGTATGGGTGATGGGAAGAGAGCTTGAAGGAGACTCGAGTTACTTGATCAAGGGGCAGAGTGATGGGGGGACTTGTAAGTGTATAGATCGTCACGCTTGTAGCCAGGTTGTAGGAACGATTATCGCACGATTTGGTTTGAGGTGCTGGTGACTGTATTGCTTCAACTTCCTTCGCCTTGATTGTCTTCATTGCATGTGGCTACAGGACCGCAACCATCTATGGTCGCAATGGATGAGAAAATTCTGACTTCGCTCGCAGCAAGACGCTGCAGAGCTTCCCCGTAATCTACAATAATGAAACCTCCTGGCCTCTGCGTGATGCTGCTTTATCTAGGTCAAATTCCATTGTACCATCCTTCCAAGCTTCATCGAGCAGCTCCCATGTAGATCGTGCCAACTGAAAGAGATACCTCTTCTTAGCAGCCGACAGCACGTCATCCACAGTATGTTTCCAGTCAGGATGCCGCTTAAGGAGTCGAGTTTCGAGGCATGCCGTTATCAGAGGGAAGACGATGCCATTGCGGCACAACAGATGCTGATTCTCGGGCAGCTGACACGCCACACAAAAGAGATGAAGTCCTGATACTAGACGGTATAGAACAATTTCTGAACTTGGCAGTGCGTCCTGCCGATCGTCGCCAACGAATTGGCCGTCTTTTTGTGTCGCGTTTACAATACGCTGCTCGCGTCTGCGGATGTGAAGCATGCCGGCAAACCGCCAACAATCCCACAACAAGCACTGAACGTACTCGCCCATTTCACCTGGCCATCCCCAAAATCGACTTATGGAGACCTCCGCCGTCTCGAATGGGGTGTCGGCGAAGATATCCAGCAGCGAATGCGGCACACCAGTGACGACTTCCAAGGCCTTGACTCTTCCCCCTTTCCAGGAGTCTTGAACTTGTCGAAAGCGTCTCCAAATACCGAGAGAGGGACACTTTCTTCCTAGTACGAGACAGGGCATGTCCATGAGACCGATGAATTCCAAGGCATGCCGTACTGAGAGGTCATGCTCGGGATTGGGATTGAGAAATGATATAGGAGCATTCAGATGGAAGGTTTCGGCGAGTAGTCCAATGACGGGTGTACACGGTTGGGCTTGAAGGAACTATGTGATCCATTCGCTTAGCTGAAAGATCTATGCCATGTCTGGACATCTGCGGTCTAAGGAGGGGACTGGTAGTGGTGCGATCCAGCGTCCGCCGGACTTAGTCGACTATCATCGGGGTCACTTACTTGAAGAACACATAGCAGTACGCCAGAGCATGCCGTGGCAGCCGGCATAACATCGTAATGGGCCACGATTTCGCGCCGAAACTCCTTCAGAGCAGTGTCAACGTACTCCATTGAGGAGACAGACATGTCCGAGCTACCTTCATCAAGATATGCTTGGATGGTGGAAGATAGCAATACTAGAGATTTGCTCTTGGCAGACATCTCAACAAAGAACGGCTGGACCCATGAGCACACTGATGTGCTGTAGAGGCTCATGAGGCCTGTGCGGAGAACTGTAAGCGTCACTCCCTGTTAGCGAGCTCAACGTGATATATCTCATCGAGTCAGCACTGGGACACGCGCAGTTATGGCATACACTTATGGAAAAGCTCATCCGTAACATGCGTCGTCTGTACCTGAGGGCTGGGGCGATTCGGAAGTGCGATCTGACTTGCGAGAGTGTTGGATCCGGCTGAATTGATAGTAGCATTGCTGCTACCTTCGCCGGCAGAGGAGTGATTCGCAGCACCATCCACCCAGCGCAGTGGCGTTGAGTATCCAGGGCATTGGATCCCTCGTTGAGTACAGGCTTCGCAAAACGGACGGCGGCGGTCACACTTTCGTTTCCGCCGCCGACAGCTCATACAACCGCCGCGAGCGCGTTGCATCTTGGTCTCTCGAATCTATAGAGTGGCAGCTCAAGATGGGCTTCATAGCCGTTGACAAATGGATGTTTTGTCCAAAATACACACACGCACACGGAGACGTAGAATGGACAAAGATGCCGGCATGGGAGCTTAGCCTCTGTGGCTGCTTCGATTCAGGGGACATTGGGACTGGCCAAACGGAGCACAGACTCCGGAATTCCCAGCATGATTCAGGGCTAAGAACATAGAGTTAGACCGCACTGATTAGCGAGTATAGGTGGCTACTCGAGCGTAGCACTGCCGAACCCCACGCACGGTAAACGGTGCATAGCAGATTTCCGGGTATTCAAGCAACAAAGGATGGTTGGCAAGGATGGCGTCGTCGGGTCACAAGTTCCTTTCCGGCAGCTTGCGGTAGTACTTGTTGGGGCATTACGTTATTTTGCGCAGTTGCTGTAGTATTGTCTTTCTACCTTGAGGGTGGAGAGTGGGCCAGCAGACTCTATATGTTGCCCAGGTGTTGCTCTCATTGTCAAGCATTGAGAATCTTGTCAATGACGCCCACGGCTTCCAAACACTCTTCATCGCGGAACCGCGGAGCGATAATCTGGATTGCACAAGGTGCACCATCAGTAGCTTCGGGGATGTCTTGAAAGTTCAAAGGTTCGAAACATCAGCGCAAGTTTCCTGTTCGGAAGATCGGGGAAGAATCTTACAATCAGGCACAAAGTCTGCGATGGCCTTTTGTGGTTCAGAGTCTTGCGTCGCGGACGCGGTGCCAAAGGGAATGACCGCTGCAGGGAACTGTTCAATGTTACATTAGCGACCTATGAGAATACTACCAAGGATTTCTAAGCAACGGGGTAGTTGTACACTCACGTCAATTAAACTCCACATGACTGTATACACGGGGAGGCCAAAGGTATCGTGAGGCACGGCAGTGCAGGATGCCCCAGGAGCCAATACAATGTCGAGGTCGTGTTCTTGCCAGGTCTGGCTCCATGACTGGGCATAGGCCGCGCGAGCCATGTTCAGTCCTGTGAACTGGCTTGGGATGTCCAGCTTCGGGTCGACAGGAAAGTCTCCAGTAGAGAAGGGATGCATTCCTTTGGCGACAGAGGCAACAAAAGGCTCTCCAAAGTCAGCAACAGCTGGCGCTGAAATGCTAAAGTATTGGTACGAGATCCTTGCGCCGAGGGCCACGCTACGCTTCGCATCCGTTGCAAGATGGACAACTTTGTGTCCAGCTTTCTCAAGAGCGGACGCGGCTTCAGCCAAGCTCCTGCGTACAGGAGGGTGTAGGGTATATTCGGGATCTTCGGGCAAGATCCCAATCGTCAAGGGCTTCGATCGAGGCTCGTCTAGGGTTCTCCAGGAGAGATTGATCGCGCTACCGTCGTATCTCCATGGGTTGAGCTTAGTTACGACCTCCATGAGGAGCGACAAGTCGTCGGCGGAGTTGGCCAACGGACCAAGAGCAGGCATCACAGCGGACATCCAATTCATGGGCCATGGAGAGAGAGACTGTCCTGCGAACGGTATGCGATCCACGGTTGGCTTGAAGCCATAAACGCCGCAGCAGAAAGCTGGGATGCGTACAGAACCGGCCAGATCGCTACCGATGCCCAGAGGTGATCCGCGGAACGCGACAAGCGCTCCCTCGCCTCCGCTAGAGCCACCAGCTGTCAACCTTGTATTATGTGGGTTGAGTGTGCGGCCGAAGATGTTGTTCTCGGAATCGCAGGTCTGGAGATACTACGTTAGCAAATATTGTCTAGGGGTTGGTTTGTCTGCGTAGGACGCCTACCATCATCGTTTGTGGAATATTGGTCTTGCAACTAGCAAGATCTCCTATCGTCAGATCTGCTTGGTGAAGCGATTCGTCTGCTAAGTCTACTTACTAGAGAACTGCTCCTGCATCAAGAAGCAGCTTGACAAGGGCAGCATTGCCTTTGGGACGGTCTTGCTTGAGAAACGCGACATATCCGACAGACGCGAAGTGCCCATCTACGTGAAGGCTGTCCTGAATGATGTCAATTGGACTATTCTTTGTCGCCGGCTCAAAGTCAGAGGCTATGTAGTGTTGTCCTACCTTTAAACTGATTGGCAAGCCGTGGAGCGGACCAACAACTTTGCCTGTTTCTCGCAACTGCCTGTCGAGCCACCGGGCCCTTTCGATTCCCTCTTCGAAAAAGATCTCGGTGAGGCAGGATGTCTAGTATTCACAACAGAAAATCAGCCTGTTACTTCTGCGAAGCGGACTGTCAGTTGCAAGCAAATGTCCAAATACTCACCAACTGCTGAGCAACGGCTGCTCGCTTGCAGTAAGCAGTGACCACTCTCTCTGCGCTGAGTGTTCCTTGGCGAAGGTGTCCCAAAAGCTCACGGGCTGTGTAATTCTCGGTAATTTTCATTTCGTTGCTGTCGAGAATGCCTGACTTCTTGGCTGCTTGAAGATCGAGGAGGAGGCCCTCCTGTGCCGTGCCGGCGCCGCGAAGTTGTTCTAACTTGTCATTGTCCAAAAGCCAGTCCGAGGGAATCTTCTTCTTCTGCTCCTCGAAGTGCTTTCGAGCAAATTGTTCCCATTCCGCCATTCTTGGCTATCAAAGGAAGGTCGTTGAGGATCAAGAAAAGGGGCGTTGGCAATCTGCAATGAAGTTGGGTTCGAGTCTGGATGACAGGCACTCGCGACCTGATTATAAGGGACATGACGCAGGAGATATATACACGAAGAATTATGGAAAAAAGGAGTATGTTCTGCGGAAGTTCTTCTCTCTTTGCTGCTCCTCTTCCTTCGAATCACCCCTCTGTACATTATCTGATAGCGCTGGCGGCGCACTTCATGGCCCAATTGGGATAGCATTACCGCTTGCTGATTTATCCTCCATAAATCCATTCCGACGGCTGCAGCAAGATCTCAGCTTTCGGAATTCAGAAACTCATCGGTCTCGCGAGAGCCACCATTTGCCAAGGCGAGGGAAGAACCCTCATTCGCTGGCTGAACATTTCAATGTGGTGATGCCTCGACAAGTTCCGCGTTAGATTCCGAACGTTGGACGCGTCTATCGTAGTTCTCATTAGCTGGAGTGCCCACAAAGAACCAGTCAGCGATTCAGTGTAGAGGCTAGCACGAATAGAAACATTGAAAAACTTTCAGCTCAGGATAGATAGTTGAAGCGAAATGGTATTGCGTGTGTTTGCTCCTTTCTCTGATAATAGAGCATGGCACCTACTATCACCAAAGAATAGGACTAAAGTCTTGTCACACTTGTTGCAATTGGCTTCAGATCTTCATTTTGAGATGGAACAGAGTCTCCGCGAGGCTATCGCGCCAGACTGATCGCATAGAGCATCACATGTTTTTGGGCAGAATCCCAGAAAACTAGGTCGCCAACCGACCTCAAAAGGCTCTAACAACAGAACCTGATGGAGTGATATGATCTACAGTATCCGTGAAGCGTGTTGATGACTCCAGTTTGGTCAAGCAGGTTTACTCCGTGAACCCACCAGGGACAGGCGGTACCGCACCACATTGACCGCGATTATCTAAGCAGTATCCACAAAGCAAGGGAACAGAGGAAATAATGAATTCTTCATAATAGTGATGCACAATTCAACAACCGCGGTCTACATAGTATGTAGGGATTCATTAACCACATTGGGTAAGTGTAGCCGCCATCCCCAAGTGGATAAATTAGATTACTTTTCAAAACTTGTCCCATAAGTAAGGTACTGTGCTGGATGTTAACTTGGCACGTGCCTGGATGCATTACAGCCAGTAAACTGAACATGGACCAAGCCACGGTTCTCAGTGTAAAGTACTTGATGGCGCTCTTGGAATCTTCAAGCTGTTCGGAGGCTCGGTCTGCTGACCTCGTGTTGCCTGACTTAAAATGCCCTTAGGATCTTGTGCGACGAGTCTTAAATAAGACGCAGTGGATGGTGGCCCTGAGTCCCACTACGATGCTATTTAAGGTAGGTAGATGGAGTCAACATGAACAAAAGTTTGACCGCCCACATAGTTCCACTCTCCCTATTTTGGCTGGGTCATTGCACAATATTGTTGTAAAATCATGGATCAAATTCCGAACATTGAAGAAATCACTCTCAATCTCTTCAGCCTTTTGGTTTTTTAGTCCCGTACGAAAGCTATGATGATCAGCTGCCTGGTTCAAGGATGAGAAACAAAAAAGAACACCTCTCCTCTTCCAGAATCGAACTAGAGACCTTTCGATGGATGTGGATAAACCATTACAGTCGAACGTGATGAACCAACTACACCAAGAGGAGGCTGTGGAGTGGCAAGACTGTTGTTCACTCTTATCCCAATGCGTGCTCGCGCGGACTCAGCTGCCGTGTTCTCGCGGTAGTTGCAATAACGTGAGAAAAATTACATTAGCAACTGCTATTCTTGCATACTCTCGAGCTGCTCCAGCTCGACGAAGGCCCCAACTTGAAGAAGATCACAAATTAAGTGCGGTGATTCATCTTCAGACGCCTCTTTGTAGACTTACCTCAAGCACCGTCTCACATGTACTCTTGCGATACTATCTCTACAAGCCTCTCACTACGTTGCGCTTGAATATTGATTGACAATAATTCGTTAAGTGATGTCGAAGTATTTGTTTAGGGCACAATTGTAGAGGTTCGTTTATCTTCTACCAATAAGTCGACACCTATCAATGGCGTTGACTTTCGCCATTAAACCACATTCAGTACTGATCTGATAACGCTGAACGTCACTTTCATGGAATTAGCCACTATGAGACTAATAGAAACTGGAAGAACTGGTTTCCCACCATGGATATAAGTTCGGATTTGTCCGATTTAGGTGATCACAAGTATAGAAAGGTAGTATCGTTGGCCAAATTCAAGAGCAATACAATCATTCATTCATACGCAAATTCAAATGCTCAGACAACCTTTTACAGAATCAAGTGCACGTCGATGGTTTTCCCTAATCATCCAGTCAGCCCGTACGCTGCATGATGGCGATAGGTGAAGTTGTTGGCTGCACACACGATGTCAATGTAACCCAACTTCAATGAAAGACATCTACGATCGGGGGATATTTGCCCAGAACTCTCAGTCTAGAAAGCGAAACGCACGTTCGATCTCGTAAAAATGAATGGGGGGTTATTCCGCATTGAAGGATCTGCTTACCGGGTGACTATACTGATTCGGGCGTTACGAAGCTGCTGCCTAGAGTTAGCCAAGGACTAGGCGTTCAACTACATTAACACTCCGCGCATGGTGGAACCCAAGCTTTCTCTTATACCTGGAAGTGGCAGGTCTTCGGGGACCTTCTTAGAGATATCGGCGACCTCAGCATACTTGACGATTCGCATTCGAGCGGTGAGGCTAACGGCTTCAACTTCCACTACTGCTGCGACATGCTGACGGGCTTGCATCAAGCCAGACACTGGCAACGATTGCGCAATTGAGCGTCTCGTACCTATATCCTAGTAACTTCCACTCATCGCAAGGCACATCACATACTTCTGTTTGGTGGCAAATTTTTGAACGAGGATCAAGGCTTCATTGGTAAACGTACGGCAACTGCTGTGATGCTGCCTAGAGGGGAGAAGACGGGCGTCGTGATGTATTGAGTAACCTCGGCCGTTCCAATCATGATATGATTCAACTCTGGATACTCATCTTTCAGTGGGATTATAAAAGTGTAGCTTATGCCCTAGAGTCGGATTTGTGCTTAACCAGACTCACGCAGACTTGAACTTTCTCAGCGGTTCGCGAATAGTTTCCAAAACCGACATTCTCAACAGAGTAAGTGATTCATACAGAAGACAACGTGACTCATTTTTACAAACATCAAGATTGACATGAATTTTAGCGAAAATGCGCTTCTCCGTTGTCTCCATCTTTACCATCGTCGCAGCACTTGCTGAAGCGCAGCAATGCACACCCGGCCGTTACCAATGCAGGTGAGTCTTTTAGCCTCTTGAACCCATACTCTGAATACCCAGCATTCATGCGAGCTCATCACTTGAAATAGATCAAATGTGTTTCCCGCGGTCTGTGACGCCTCTGGCAACTGGGTCGTTCTACAGCGTTGCCCAAACAATTGGCGCTGCATCGAGAACAACGGCAGCGTGACCTGTTCCCCGTAGCTCACTATGTCATGGAGCCTAGAGGTCGAGCTTTTGCCTATACATAGCTCGATAGCGAAGGCTTTGTTGAAAGATGATGGTTCGCAACCAGGCATGATGGTATGAGAGACTACATTCGATTGTCAAGGTTGGCATCGCTCCTCAATTATTACACATGTAGAATCAAGCTTCTCCCCCAGATTGCATCGCCGTTTCCTGGCTTTCTAAGATTATTCATTGTACCTTAATTGAAAAAGGCTGCAACCATGATGGAGAGTCAAAACCGTCCAGGAAATTGGAAGTGCATTGAGTAAAGTAATCCGACGCCGGGTTTAATCAGTTGCAGAGTGGTTCATGATAAGGTCAAGTACAGTGTTTAGGTCCTGAAGTCTTCTCTCAACGCAGGATGCCATGGGAAGACAACCGATCGACGAGAATGGCCTCGGAAAAAACAGAGCCCATTCACCCAACGCTGAATGAGTAGCTCGGGCCCAGGCTCGTTGTGAAAGTCGACCGATTCCAAGTTACTTCCAGCGATAGCTCCAGCGACAGCAATCGACACGTGCTTATCAATATCGTTCGGGTACAGTGTTTCCGAAGACTCCTTCATCGGCTTGGAAGAAGTGAACACGTACCTGACTGAGTCGGGTCAACATTGAATCCCACCAGAGTTGTACTTTTCTTACCTACATCGTCGTCTTTGCTCTCCGAAGAGCCCTCCGACTCTTTCTCAAAGTCGCCCCCACTCACAGAATCGGAAGCAATATGATGATAATTGGTGTGAGAGCTTGCACCTGAATCGTCGCTTCGGTCATCAAATAGCACAACATCATCATCTTCATACCCTTTTGGCTCTTCATCCCCTTCCATGTCTTCTAGTACAAAAATACCGCAGTAGCTGTACGGTTGATCATCGAGCAGGCCGCCAAGTACCAGCGGCTTCTCCGCATCCATTGCCGCAACAACTATCTCGGCCATCATCCGCATGTAATTCATGGAGAAAGTTGCCTCTTGCATCGGTCGTAAAACGGTATCAATAAAGTGCGTCAGCTCATCCACTATAGGATAGTTGCGGATATCACTGAGGGCATATTGCAACTGCGTAAGACGCTCTATGGCGTGCGTTCGTCGGCTCCTCCGAGTGTGTCGTCTTCGGTACTTTGCATGTGGATAAAACTTCACGTAATGTTCTGGCCGTATGACACGACCGAGCTTCCATAGATGACCAAAGGTCTTCAAGCCCTCATGTGTTAGCCGAACATCAATGAATCGGCACCCATTGTTGAAGACAAGAGGACGCTTCAGCAGAGGTGGACAAAAGTCATCGAAGGACTGGTCCGTGACGAAGTCGGCGACTGTTTGCCTCCGACATCTCATCCAAAGACGGTTCTCTTCCTTCTTTTCACATGTGTTCTCCATGATCTCTCCGTTCAAGAGGTAAAGGGCGAGCATAGATAGACTCATGCTGTGTGATCCTTGCCGCAAGATGGCGTCATCTAGCCTGATGGAGTATTGGCAGCAATTTGCGACTATTGCCAATCTGTCGTGGCAGAATTTGCTGCCGCGGGACTCGATATCCTTTATGATCCTCGGCGACTGTGACCAGGGGGCAGAATATCGTCCATCGGGCATGGTCTCCCGTAATAGGAACTCGTAATTAGGAGCTGTCTTGAGAATTCGTTCGGCAACATCGGACAGACCGGAGACGCTGCCATCCTCCTCTGCAATTATGCAGGCTTGGCATAGTTTTGTGGATTCCGTCTGGAACTCTCGAGATGAGATCGATATGTCGCCCACTACGTTACCGAAAACTTTTTCCTTCTTTGTCTTCTCCCTGAATATTTCACCATCTTCTGGATGAGGGATGAGTAGCGTCATTTGTCCATCGCAACGATAATTTTCCTGAAAAGTCCAGGCTCTTGTCCACCAAAAATCGGAGGTTATGGCGTCGAGAAGGGACAATGCTCTACGAAGCCTTTCCAGGGCGCTCTCTGCGAAGGAACTTAAGCAGAACTCTCCAGAAGCATGTTTTGACACAAAATTGCCCTGGAGAACGTCTGCGAGAAGGCAAAGCTCTTCGTGCGATTCGATCGGTCGCGCTAGCAGAGCAATGGGGTGATTGCTCAGCTTGTAGACCATATCCATTGCCTGCATACCCCGAGTCTTCTCTGGGCCCGGCTCCTGTGAGATGCAGTGCATATCTATCCATACGTATTGCAGGCCAGACTGGGCTTCCAGGTATCGCCGTATGCGGTCGAAGACCCGGTTGCGGACCCCAGAAGGTTCGCGTTTCCCATTAGAGAGTTGTACTAGATGGTGGCCGGCTGTAGAATCCTCGTATGGTTCTGAAGCTCCCCATGTCCAAGACACAGCTACATAGTTCAGGTCTTTGAGGGCATTCAGGCCGCTTTGGCGGAGCCACACAGGGCGATCATCTTCAGATGCTGAATCGCGGGTTTGTGGGGGGCGTTTTCGGTCTCGGGTTTTATCAAGATACAGACAGTCGAGGTTTTGGATGAAATGAAGTGATTTCGATTGCTCGATAGTAGCGGTCTGGATCTCAAGGAGCTGGCGGACTAAGGACTGCCCACCAGCCGACTGTATCGAAGATAATGGTTGATCCTGATCGTCCACATCTATTCGTGGCTCCGCCATGGCGACTGCTGTATTACAAATGCTTTCTCTCAGAGCCAGCCCGAGAGTCTTTGACGAGTTCCAGTCCGTCGTCATTCGGCCGAGTGGGATGGATGGAATAGGGAGAGTCTCCGATAGCGCGACGCGTCAACGTTGGGCCTTTCAGCGTCCGCCGCCAGTGATGATCGACGGAGCGGAGGCTACGGAGCGCATGATGGTGTGGCTTAGGTGCCGAGTACGTAGTCTGTTTGTGTTCCCACTTCCCGTCGAATCCCTGTATTTTGCACCTTGTTACTCTAAATTCTTGACTCTTGACAATGCGCCAATGTTGGGTGTTTTCGGGGGCTATGCTAACCAACTGTTGGTTCCGTCAGTACGGATACGTCACGAAGACTTCTCTAGTTGACTGGATCAGTCATCACTTGTCGGGATGTTCCCGATCTGGATCTTTGTCCCAGTGGACAAAGTCGTAGCAGAGGCAGAGGCTCTGTTGAGTGAGAACGGGGTGATCTTTTTGCCAAGTTGCCAAGCAAAGTGTCCAGCCTTCGAAGGCTTAGCGTCCCCCAAATCCGTCCAGACCTGACTCTTTGCTTTGCCTTGGGGTCGTCTGCTTCCCCTGCCGGATTCTCTGAGAGAAATTTTCAGGCGCACATTTGGATGGTCGACGCAAGAATCTCATAGACGGCTCATTTCTCTTCCAGCAATCTGAATCACTTCTACGAATGGACTAGCCCACTACACCTGCAGGTGATGAACTAGGTACCGGCACGACTATTCGCATCCGTACAGACCGTACAGAGTAGACTGGGCTGTAGAGCTAGACTGCAGGATTGTATAAAAATGGGGCTTTCTGTAACGCAATCACTGGATTAGGGATCGTGATTGCGCGTTCCAGGTCCCTCCGTGGAAAAAGTCTAACTTCTTAGCAGCTCGTCCACCGGTGCACTGCATGTGGGCGAGGCCGGGTTCGTCCATAGTCAAGCCCCATCGAAAGCCTCCCGCTTCCCTTCCGAATATGCTTGTATCTCAATTTCGAGGAAGCCAATCGGCAGTTGCCCAACTTGCGTGGAGAGCTGATGATTTGGGAGCACCTCATTTGCCATTGAATGGAATGTTGTGTTCCTCACCCACCACCCGTGCATACCGACTGATCGGCTATCGTCAACAACCAGACAAGATGAAAAAGGCCACCTCGGCTGTGCGCAAGGGACTTACAATATGGCATGTAGAAAGTTCGGATGACGAGTCAACGGTTCAGCTGACATTTGCGTGAGGTTCATTGGCCGTTCACCCACCAGATGCTTCGCCAGCACGGCCTCGACCCAGGGTATCGCTGGGATGCTGTTAGTTCAATCCATCATTGTTTGCTCATTGGACACTAGAATCAAGGTCTCTGCGAGTGTACGCGCGTGCAGGAAACATGCAAAATTGTCTGCCATCCGGTACTTCGAACCGGATGATCGGTGTTGAGATGGGACGAAACAAGACACTGGGCAACTGTGTTCTGTTTGCCACCTTCTTTGGACCACCTGGAGCTCCCCGGCGTTCTCACGGCTTGAAATGTACGCGAACTCAGAGAATCTTGAACTATCGTAATGCCGGATCCTGAAAGCCTTGGCCTTCTATTCCGCTTCCTTAACTTGAGCGTGCCAAGTAGCCAAGAGTCTGGAGACCCCGAAGAAATCAGGGTGAATCCAACGGCAACATTGACTGTGTTGGGAACTGGAATGCTTGCTGTTAGTGTTTTTGCTGGCAAATGTGCAGCTGGTCTATCCGACCCCCCGCAACCCGTGCTGAGCCACTTAAGACTTTGCTGCGTGTTAAAACACCGCAATCTACAACCACGGTACCACCTGCGTCAAACATAGACCTCGGCTGGCCTTTCTAAAAGAAATTCTACCTGTGGTCCGGGCACAGAAGCCTCTTCGATGCAAGGCATCTTTTTCGCATATGGAATAAGCTCATTGGGCAGATAGTTTGAACCCCATTGATGTACACAGTTTAACGTGACGGATGTTAAAGGCATCAGGGGGGTTGTTAGGGGAAAACAACCCGAAGACGGGAAGCCCATGCTGCGTCGAAGTCTATTTTTACAGCGTCAGTTAAACAACACGCCAGCTTTGATTGGACAATGGCTTTGTGTGGACGCGCCTCGACGGCGGCTTTGGTCCAAGGGCGGGGAGAATTTGCATCGGCATGTGGGAGGACGGCTCCGTCGACGGACCAGGACAACGCAGAAAAGGAGGCTTAAACGGCGGCCCCGACTCCACTGTCTCCCGAAAGCTTGCGCGTAGGGCCACGTCCGGATGCTTAGACTGAGCAGACCGGGGACCCTCCGGTCACTGAGTGACTGAGGAACCGGGATGAAAGGGAGAGAAAATTAGACT